GGGGGTTAGGGGATAGGGTTAGTTAGGGTTAGGGTTTAGGGGGTTAGGGTTAGGGTTAGGGTTAGGGGGCTTAGGGTTAGGGCTAGGGTTAGGGTTAGGGGGCTAGGGTTAGTTAGGGTTAGGACTGCACTCAGTTGACCCCCCTTCCCCTCAACCAATCAAATCACGTGATTTTCTCTCAGCCAATCAGAATCTTCCGCACTAGCGGGACTCCTTGTACTACTGTTGTCTTTATGATCCAATGCTGACATTCTATTACAGAACTTATACATAAAGAATTCTACATATGACACAGACTTTTGAGCTAGGGCAATAACTTTCAAATTGGATATCGATGTTACATCTCTTTTATTCATGCGTATATTAGTGCAATAAAAGCTATGAAATAGGAAGTGCATAAATTATACATGTTGCAAAAAAAAATTATTTTTGTTTTACAGGATACCTTGAACGAATGTATAGGATGACTGCTGATATAACTGTCAAACTTCTGCTCACACTATTAGTGGTAGGTTCGCATTTTTCTATTTGCGCACGATATATAGTGAATTACACTTACAACGTTTCATCTATAATTATAATCTTGCTGCAAGTGCGTTTAATAGTCGCACATAAAAGGAGAAATGGCTTATGAATATTAAAGTAAAGGAAATATTATCTGTTTATGAAATATTTAAGGAAAAAACGATTAAACGGAAAGAAGATAGATTAATTTGTATTTTTTAAATTTTTGCCTATGTCTCGAGGAATAAATAGAGGATATTCAATGTTTTGTATCTGAATATGGAATTTTTCAAAGAATAGAACAGGATTTTTGATATTTACAAGAGTGAAAAAAATTCAATATTCAACTACAAAACATTGAATTTTCTATTTATTACATTTTTATTAAAAAATTCTTTCATTTTTCCTTTGCATCTGTCTTTCTGTAATACAGTCATAGGCTCGTGACGTCATAGTTGAGCGGTTGAGACGTCATAGCTATGTGAAGTGAAAACACTGTAAGTATGGATTTAGCAACATAATTTTGGTAATTTTGACAGTTTTATTCGCTGTCAGAATGGTTTATTCATTTCCATCTATCTATATTAGGTCAAGGAAGATATTTTTCAATCTTCATTATTGGAAGGGAAATCGAGAGTTTTCCCGCACTTCTGACATCCTTTCACACTGTGACAGGATATCATTTTGATATCCTTTCACACTGTGACAGGATACATGTATCAGTTTTATTCAATTAATAAATCACAGTATTTCACGGGTAAAAATGTAATAAACTATGAATATCTTTTATTTTTTGCGGTCTAAAAGCAGAAAGTGAAGGTCACAAATCTATGTACGGGACATGAGAAACAGATCTCTATATGTTATATCAAGAGTCAGTTAGCGGTTGCGATTATTTTGATTTTTAAATTCAAAAATTCAAAAAACCAAGTAACATACATGAATATTGGCTTTTAGATAGTGTTTTATTTTTACAAAGAAACTTAAGTTCACCTGATGAACCTCAGAGACTTTATCTTGACTTTACCAGTTGTTTTTATTATGGCAAATATGTTCATTATAATTAATTGATTACTTCTGGCTTTCAGGAGATGCAAAAATTCCCTGTGGAATCTTTACTGAAAAAAAAATTCTTAAAATAAAGAAGAATTGTATATGTTGCGATGCATTTGCACTTGTGTCGTTAGTTTTTTTTTTTTTTTATTAAAGAAGGATGTTTTATCTGAACCCTGCATAACATCAAATGAAACGTTGAAGTATGTTGACCACTGTCCAACGACCAGGAAGGAATGGCAAGAGCAATCTCTGCAGAAAAACTGCAATAAGATAAACCAGAACTGTACTGAGAGGAACAATTTCCAGTACCACTGCTTAATCAATGAACTAGTAAATCAAACAGTTGAAGTATGTGCTCCAGTTACAGAAATACTTGGTAAGTTAAGCAAAACAACATAAAAATGTTCAAGTTTTCAAACATCAATGTTTCAAAATATCAACTGGTCGATATTTTAGATTCTGTTATACGTACAATTTCGACAAGCTTTAATACACTTATTGTTTTGTGTAATTTATTTATAACAAACTGCCGGACAGTAGCTTATAGGTCTGAAGAAATATTTTGGATGGACAGCAAAATACATGTAGCTGACAGTGCAATCAAAAAATGTAATTATTTACTTTCATACGGTTCAAAAAATTAGGTTTCTTATTTTACGCTGTCATATCAAGATACTATGCGCATTTTTTTATTGAATGCTATTTACTGCTTTTTCAAAATGTTTTCAAGCAGAAATTTATCATTGTTCATAGATGGAGATCATCGAAACCTATTAACATGGTTTACATGGTAATCGTTACAATCCACTCATTGTTATGTTTTTATAACACAAACATCGCACAAAAGTAAGTTTTAGTTTTTGAGTAAATGCCTGATATTTTTTTTCTTTCAATTTTCCCATAATAAAAATCAAATATTTTTAATAAGAAACGTTTTATTTTCTCAGTTTTTATTAATTTATTAATATGTCTTTGGAACCCTTAATTCTTATTGACGATCACCCCCCCCCCCCCCCCCCACAATACTGTGTATGCAACATTGCTTTTGATCAAATAAACACTGAATAAATAAGCACCATCGCAGAAATTATTTACTCATATTTAAATCAATTACAATTAGTTAAGCTTAATGATATGAAACGTTTGTCTTGGTTAGAAAAAAATTCGTATTCAATATTAATTCGCAAAAATGATCATGTCAACAGAATTTGTAGACAATGACAATGACAATGATTTATTCTCTTAAATGTACAAACATACATTGTAGAGAGGAGGTAGGAAAAGGTATAAACACATACAAAAAATATAATACGTGCATTATAAACAGTACAAAACATCATGTTAAAGTTTAAGTCAATTAATTTCGTCTATGCTTTGCTTGACAATCAATAAAAATTTACCTAATTTTTTCATTGCTTAAATTTCTTTATATTTGGTCTGGATTTGAAAGAGTTCAGTATCATCACCTTTATTCTTATAGATAAAAATTATTTCACCACACAACCAATCGGATGGGAAACAACCACTGTCAAGAATTTTGTTGAATATTTTTTGATAGAGGGTCACCATTATGTTGCATGAGCTTTTAATATATTCATAGTATATGTCATCACTTCCACATGATTTGTTTCTTTTAAGATTTTTTATACTTTGCATTATTTCATCACAAGTTATCGGTTCATTTATAGACTCATTACACTGTAAATTAGAAAGAATATCTATATCCTCATTTGATAAACATAGTCAGGTATTTCATTATCTTTTTCCATATTTAAATCTTTAAAAAAAATCATATAATTCCTCAGCAGATGCATTTACATTTTTTCTATTTTTTTGCCCAGAGTTATTATTTTCCTATATTCTTTCGGGTTTGTTGATTTTAGTTTTTTCAATTTTTCTTTCGTTTGATTTTCATGGTTATTTACACACATGTTCAACAATTTTTTTTTTATATTTTTTCTTTGCTATACATATAGTCTTTGAGATCGTTACTTCTATTTCTCTGGTAGCGTTTTTTAGCCTTACGAAATGTTTGTCTTGCGTTGTAACATTCTATTGTAAACCATGCATATGGTTGGTGAAAATCTATCTTTGATTTTCTTCGATTATTATTTTTTATCCCTAAAGTTTCTTTTGCACTTGATATAAGAATGTTACAGGTATCGTCTACAATTTTGTCAACAAAATCTAGATCGATTTATTCTTCTTTAATATTGTCAAGAATTCCACATAAATTGTTAATTTCAATACTTTTCTGACCTAATTTTTCAAGAAAAATGTGTTGCAATTCGTCATTCCAACCTTTAGCCTTTTCTTGTTGTTCGCTATTACATGTATTTTCATTATTAGTATTTCGTTTCTCTTGGTTAATTGTCAATGATAGTTCTACATGAAAAGGATTATGGCAATCAGAGTAAAGTTTCGAAAAATCATGAACTTCGAATTTTTTAACAACAGTCAAAATTTCAGTATTACCTATGCAATAATCTATTACACTAATACCTTTACATGTAGTTTTCCCAATACATCTATCATTTCCCATACGACCATTCAAAACTAATAGATCAGTATGTTTACAAAAATCGAGTAAAAGTTTGCCAAAATTATTCTTGACTAGGTCTTTTGATGACCGTTGCGGTGGGATATTAAGTAAGTCTAATATTGTACATACAAACTTTCAGGTAAAAAATCAGAATAAGTGTCACAGTTAGTAATGTAATCATGGTCTATTCCAGTTCTTGCATTAAAATCACCAATTAAACAAACAAATTTACGAGTTGTTAGAAAAACGAACATATTCCTCCAATTCTTCAAAAACATCACAAGATACATATTTAGAATTTTCAGGTGGTATGTAAACGGCGCCTAAAAGTAATGTTTCATTTAACACTTTTTTAATTAAGGTTGAATTTTAACCATAAACAATATTTACTTGCAGAATCTATTAGTTCTAATGAATTGACGAGTGTTTCTCTAACAAAAACAACAATACCACCCGATTTAAAGCGAGATAACTCGCGACGGTGCTTTCCAAACATTTTAAAACCAGGTATTATTACATGATCTGTGTTATCAGTTTTAGATTCATTTACGCATATGATATCATAATTTGTGAAATATTCGATAAATTCTGTACAGTTAATTTTACTTATTAAACCACAAACATTAAGTGAAACAATTTTAAAAGAGGATATTTCACCACAGGATAGGCGTCCATCCTCCTCAAATCCCTAGTATCCTGGTTGTCCTAAATGAGTGAAGTCCATTGGGGCGGATCCTCTGACGGGCTCCTCCGTTGGGGCGGGTCCTCTCACGGGTTCCTCTGGGTCGCTATTCTGGAACTCCTCGTCATAGTCTGGATCGTACAACTGACCGTTGACGTAAAGTTTGTCCCTGACCATCCTAACCGTGTAGACGGATATTAAGTTAAAATCGCGGATCTCATTAAAGTACTAATAACTGATTTGCGACATTTTTCGTAATAGAATTAGAAGATGTTATGAAAGGGCATTGGTACTTTACGTCACATTTAGAAAATGCTATAAATTAAAGTCTCCAACAGTGCTTGTAAAATATACACATCTCTAAATATTTAGCACTTGAAACGTGCATTAGATGTGTCTAAGTCAATCAACCATTTCTTCGGGACAAATTGAATTGTTCTTTTATTATTTTACAGGGCATAAATGTGCAGAGTATAACGTTATTGGAACAAGAATTCAGGATAATGCAGTTTTGAATTGCACAGATTGTCCATTCAGATTCAATTCAAACGAGGCTTTTAAATGTAAGAATCTCTAATACTTTAATATTTCAAGACTTGTGAGATACACAATGTTTTTGAATCTTAAGATTAAGTTACACAATATCTTGCAATAAACACATTATAAGAAATTTTAAATAACAAAATATCTGAATATACTGTGAAATCACTAATTTTTGTGGGGGTTAATTTACGTTGTTTTGCATGTATGAAGAGACCCACGATTTTATATCTACCATGAAATGTAATTTTTCAAAGATATTACTACACAAAATTTCTTCTGACATCAACAAAATTAAATTCCCACAAACCCATATTCTTTCCTCAAACCACAAAATTTGACCCCACGAAAACATTTGATTTTACAATTCACTAGTAGTATTTGAATTCTAGAGTCCTATGAAAATTATTACAAGTCGTCAAGGAGTACTGCTATAAATATTCTAGTATTCTTTATACTAAAACCACATACTATGTGTCCTCAATATCATAAATTAGCACTAATATTTATTATTATAATTATCATTAATATTATTATTAAACACAGCAGAAAATTGCATCTATCTTGAACGTATATTCATTCTGTTACGTACATTTTCACTAATATATTCACTATAACACTTACGAGCACGTTACTTTCATTTACCTCACTTACTTGGTGCACTTAATTTCAACACATTTTATGAGCGAAATTCATTTAAAAGGTAAATATATAATAATACACATTTTTCATAACGTTTGAAACATGCATTGCATGATCTTACTCTATTTAAGATACCGGTATTTGATATTTTCTTTTTCAGATCAACAGTGCTACCAAAACGCCATTCAACGCCAGGCAACAGAAAACGGGACTGGAGCGCAGTGTGATAATTTAACAGAAGACAAGTACACACATTCTCTCTCTCTCTCTCTCTCTCTCTCTCTCCTTTGTGTACAATATATGATTTTGTTTGAATTAGTTGTATTCTTTGTAAAAAAAAAACATGATGCTTTTTTGTTTGATTTCACTTTATTATTTTTTTTGGGGGGGGGGGGGGGTTATCCACTAAAACTAATTTGCTTTTTCTTATGAAAACCAAGGCTGTTAAACAATCAGTAATCAACGCTCAGCGATACATCTGCATAAATTTTTGCCTGAATGAAACATAAATTGATGTACAATTCAGTTATGCAATATTTCACAAATTTAATGCTATATGACTGTTGATACACATATACACATTAACAATAAAATGTGTATTGCAGAAATGAGGGTACTATATTTTTTTCCGACAGCTGCGACATAACGTCTTATACTAACATCCAGAAACCATTTAAATTTTGAAAATAGGTCAGTTGATATTTTATTGTAGGGTCTCTTTTTTTGCCTGTCTCACTGCACTCGTAGTTTCAGTTGTCATCAACATTGCATTTTGTGTCGCTTTTTCCTATTTTCGACGACGGCATCCAAAGAAAAAGAAGTCTGGTAAGATAAAGAAATATGTTGATTAATATATCTTGTATCTTTAAGATTGAGAAATTTAAAAATGCACGTATTTCTATGTGGTGTAAAAATGTATCATATAATGGCACTCATATTTATTTAAAGTAAGAAAGAGAATGATTTGTTCTCGGTTTGTTTTAATTTACAAATAAAAATAAAAACCTCTGAAATTATTTTTACAGTAGTTTGCCACGAATGAGTCTACAAACTAGTCAATTGCATTACTCTTAGAAAATTGAGTGGAAAATCAGTCGTTAAATGAGGTCGTATCACATTAAATATCCAATTCAAATAAATTTTCCAATTTTTAATATGAATCTCTGTTAGATACCACGGCTTCTCATGGAAAAAGAATAACCACCCAAAAAGAAATTATCATACTGTCAAATAAAGATTTTTTCAAGCTTAAAAAGTAAAGATAAACATAAAATAAATTGATCTCGAACTTATTTAAAAGGATAGATAGAGGAAATATAGGAAACACATCATGCAGCGAAACAGCGATAAGAAAACAACAACGATGCCATCGGTCTATAGAATATTGTTTAAACGAGTAAAAAACAGACACGTGGTATCTGGGAGGGGCAGGTTACCATCCCGAACGCACAGGCTCTTTACTATTAATTTGCATGATATGTCGATGTGATTGAATGTTTGGTGGTGCCCCCGACTTTTTCTGGGTATGGGAAAATACTCATATATCAATGTATTAAATATAATTTCTAATGAAATCAGTCGGAGACACCCCCCCCCCCAAGCACACATACACACACCCTCACACACACACAACAATTAAGCATCTCTAACAGAAGACCTTACTGTTTCCTATTACTTTCTTTTTTCCTATCGTTGTACTAATTTCTATCTATTTTGAGTTAGCGATTTCTTGAAAACGGCTTTATAGGCCTGGTAGATACTGATATAATCCTAAAGATAGGAAATTTATTGCTTTGGTGACATCTTCTAGTCGTGCGTTACAATGGATTTTCTGTTTAAAATTCTAATTTTTATCCTGCCCTTAAAAATGTGAAAATGTATATTGTTTTCATAAAAAATGTTCATAAATGAGTCCTACACGATCGGGATAAGATGAGGCCACCTAAGCAAATTTTAACAAAAGAGTTGTGTTGAATATATATAGGGAGTATCCAGTATTGCCAGTATACCAAATACTAAACTTAAACGTTGTCTTGTATAAGGAATATATAATGAAAATATTGTGACATAAGTGGCACAGCCATTTTGCGAAATCATTTTTTAGAAGTCCAATTATACTGCATAATTCATTTCAATTTTCATAGGAATTAAGATATTATATTGCTTTGATTATAGATGAAAATTATGAAGGGACTGAAGGGACTGAACAAATACATCTCATTTGTGAGGGAGGTAAGTAGATTCTACGTGTGCGTATCACACAAGTAACTGTCGTGAAAAGTTCAGTATTATAAATTTTAGTTCACCTATGCCGATATCATAAAGAGTATTTTAAAGGTAAAAAAAAAAAATTGAGAAATTTTTTTTATAGAATAATATTTATATTTGCTGATGTCTTTTCTTACATAACAATGATAATGAAATTGAAATTCAATTTTCAATGACATAATGATATGTATCTAGGTTTTAAGTCATGACCACCACCCGGTGTCTTAGTGGATGGGGAGCCATTATTTATGACATATTTTTATCATATATGTGTACCTTACTTTTTTTTAATATATTTTTTATTAGACTTTTGAAAAGTAGGTTAACCTTGAAAGTAAAGGTTACAGGGTTAAAAATTCAGGTAATACACATGTGTGAAATGAAATTCATAACTCGTCTCATGCAAAAAGTATGACCAAGTCTAAAGGTTTTTAGAATTAGTCCAACTTCAATGTAAAGGTCAAGGGTCAAAAAACATAATATGTTTAGGAAGGCCTTGTTACAGGTAATGTACTTATATTTATGTGTAATATTAAAACCCTAACTTTCCTCTAAAAGAAGTAGTTATGGCAATGATAAATGGTTATGATTAAATGATTATGGTACTGATAAAAGTTTTGTTAAGTGGGTCAATCTTCAAGGTCAGGGAAGGAAATCAGCATATTTGAAAAGATCTTGTCACAGGTTATGCACTTGTGAAACTGGAAAGACTTATCTCATCTCATTCAAAGGTTATGGCCAAGGTTTAAGTTTTTTTGTGACAGACCGACGAATGAGATTTAATGTCCATCGCTTTCACGAAAGCGGGGGACAAAATTTATATGGAAAAAAAAAATCTAATTTCCTTTTTAAATCATTATGTTATTGTGAATTTATTTTTTTTTTCAAATCTTGACCCTCAGGAGTAGAGTTGGGATATACATGTATGCGATCACAATTTTACATTCAAATAGGTATAAATTAAATAAAACATCTTAAAGACAAGAAAGTTAAACATATTCATATTACAATATCGTCACGTGGTTAAAATTTAAATTCTGATCCCGAGGATAGTATAGTTCTGGAAAAAAGCGATCAAAATTCAACGCAGGGATTATTTATAAATATATCTATTGAATGAAAACATTACATTTAGTCCAGTCATTTTAGCCCAAAAATCGCTAAACTTGCAACTAATTGCAAAAGAATTGTTTTCAATGATTTTGACTTCACTAATATGTGTACTACAACATTAAAAAAATCTAATGTTCTACATGAAGTGGAAAAACATTTTTTTTGGGCCAAAAACAAGAAAAAGATCGAAAAACCGACAAAAACTGGAGATTTAGCTTTTCTTCATTATTAATCAAATAAGAATACAATTTTTAGTTTGGCAATTTTAAATTTTAGTAAGAAATAATAACTGTAAAATTCTCATATAATAATTTGACTTTTTAAGAATATTTTTGAGGAGGAATGTTCTAATTTTAGTGTAAAACACAATGAAAACTGGAAATATTTGTAGTTTTCATTAATAAGATTGAAATATACAAATATATATACATGTATAAGAAATATATTCTATTACAATGAGGTTTTGTACTGTTTATCAATTTAGAAATACTAGAAACCAAGGGAAGGGGCACATGAAGGGGGGGTGGGGGGGGGGGCGTGCCCCTAGCTTTCCCCAGTATTTTCCCGCAAAAGAATTCCAAGAAAAAAAACTTGACACTTCAGTCTCAATGGCATTGAAAATAAATCATATCATTAATCTTATTCATTTCATTATCTTAATTTTTTTTTCTGAGAAGAAACCTTCCCCTAATGAAATACTATTTATTCGATACCCTAAATGTTGACCATAACGGTGACTGACCACCAGGTTATATGTACACTTACATGTATGTTACTGTTTTAGCATTGATAATTTTCATGAGAATTGTCAGTTTAAATAATATTCTGTTAAACAAAATGTCAAATGAATGCAAAAATTCTATTCCCGTCAATTTCCAGTTATGAACAAGATTGATTGATGTATACTGCTTAACGTCCCTCTCTAGAATATTTCACTGATATGGAGACGTCACCTTTGCCGGTGAAGGGCTGCAAATTTAGGCCTATGCTCGGCACTCAGGGCCTTTGAGCAGGGAGGGATCTTTATCGTGCCACACCTGCTGTGACACGGGGCCTCGGTTTATACGGTCTCATCCGAAGGACCGCCCCATTTAGTCACCTTTTACGACAAGCAAGGGGGTACTGAGGACCTATTCTAACCCGGATCCCCACGGGGCGTTATGAACAAGAAGTAGAATGTCTAAATTTTTCTTTATTAAATTAATTTGTGTCGTCTCCATCATCTGTGCTCTTTGTTGAATTGGAGCAACTTGTTCCTCTACAATGGCCGCATCCAATTGTACTTATCATATGACCTTTTTTTGACATCGTTGACCTTTTTTTGGGGGGGGGGGGGGGTAAAAATTATACTTGTATGTTTCTGACTTCATTCGCTCTTCTTCATTTGCAAAATACCGCTAATTTTGTTGAAAACATTTTGATTGTACAAACAAGTACTCTTAGGCTGATATGAAAAAATGTTCTAGTTTCTGATTGATAATATCTATATATCGGGTAGTATTTTTGAAGATAAGGTCTTTCAACAATCTGTTGGAAAATCCATGGGTATATATTGCGCCCCTTTATTTGAAAACCTATTAACTTTGTATTTATATGAAGTAAAATATATCTACTATATAGAATATATCTACAAACTGCCACATGAGAAGAAGAAAATACCTTTTCATTCACAGGTTAACTTGATTTATATATCCTTCTTGGCTGAGGAGTGGATATCCTTAAATTCTATACAAGATTTACATTTTTACAGTCAGTAATATGACTGTCAACAGGTCTTCCTCTCTTGGCTTCGGTCGAGGAGGTTGAAAATATTTTAGGAGTGTTTTTGCCTGTGCGAAAATTGACATTACATGTTTGATGATAGATGGCATCAGCAGCATGCAAATCATTTACAGCTTCTATTCTACCATAAATTTGGTCTGCCCAAGCGTCTTGTCTTTTAGAACAGATAGATTTTATACTAGTCTGGAAATCATGAGTTCGCACAGGATATACATCATACCCTCTTTTATTTGGTTGAGTTTGGCAGTCTGTCCACAGAAGAGGCAGTGGTCACGGAATGAAAAAGTCTGTTTTGACCTGAGAATAGGTGTGCTTTCAGCAGGAGGATTTGACTTGCCTTGTTCTCTCTCTCTAAGATATTTCCCGATTTCAAATATATTTGTAAATTGACGCCTGCACTCTGTGTGTACATATTGTCCAGGATGTGTGCGTATATGGCTACCCCTTTTCTCAGCAGCATTATTGATACCTTCACTGCCCTTCCCACGAAGACAAACAAGCCCAGTTTGATCCCCCGACTCACAAATGACACATTTTTCTTGTCTTTCCATTTTCAAAAGAATATTAGAACAGGTGTAAATAAAATGAGAGGAAAATTTCAACTAGATATACCTACAGCGTCACATGACGATAACTAATGGCAATTTAACAAGAATGGGTGTCCATACACTGAGAAAGCCAAAATAAGCAGTGCGGTGTTAAAAAATCATTTTCACTACCTTACTTGTTAATTATTTCCCATAAAAATAATGTTTTACAAATAAGCTCTTGATCAAATGTTATTTTCAATTACATTACGGCCCCTATCAGGAATTTTAAATGAATCCCAAATGCATGACGTTCAGATTACGACGACACGTGTTGAGACTTCTCGGCTGTACCTGTATTTTGTCAATTTTAGGAGTTTAACGTCTCGTTTGTTGTTATAGTTTTACAACAGGGTCACATTGATTAAAATGCTTACACACTTGTGTCAATGTATATCATAAAACAAGGATAAATTAGCGTCATCTAGGCAATGTATATGCAATGACTACGTCACTGAAAGCACGCTATGACAGCACAGCGGTGACAGAAAACGAAGGGCGCACTCAACAAATTTCTTACACAAAAATATAATATTTCTGCACATTAGATAAAATTAGATTTTTTATATGTTGTTTTACATACACTAAAGAGTAGTTTGCAAAAAAAATTATTTCTTTTGCAATTAGTTACAGGTAAAATTTAAATTGACTGGACTAATTGAAAGAATCCTAAGGTCTTGCAGATTCAAATATATTAAAAGTGTGACCAAGGTGCTTGATGCGGCCGTATTACATGATTATTTAATTATATAAGGAATATGTAAGGGGGAAACACCACATATCTTATTCTCAACATTGACAATGCCATTATGAGTCACATTGATTTGCAAGCATCTTCAGGTAGTGTTTTTTTTTTTGCTTATTTATTGTTTAACATCCCTCTCGAGAATTTTACACTCAAATGAAGCCGTCACCACTTGCCGATAGAGAGATGAATTTTTCTTTACCATATACTCGGGCCTCAGAGTCATTGAGCATTAAGAAATTTTTTTCGTTCCAGCAACTTCTGCGACACGGGGCTTCGGTTTCTAAGGTCTTAACCAAAAAACATGTCTTCTCGTCTTACACTGGGATTCGAACCCGCGACGTAAAGATCAACTCCCTATTCCTCGACTCTGGATCAGACGCTCATGATTATTATTGTACCACGCAGGTGACTTACAATTAGTGTAAATACAAGTAAACTTTATTCTGATCATGGTCCCCTGTAACATTAAACTATGAATCACTTTGAAAGGAATGGTAAGATTAATTGATAATGTTTTATGTCCCATTTGAAAATTTTTCACGCATATAGATACCATACACTTGTGATGGGCTCTAAATTTTGACCTGTGCTCGATACTTAAGACCATTGAGCAGTGAGGAATCTTGATCGTGCCAACTTCTTGACATGGGGCCACGGTTTATAAGATCTAATCCGAAGAACCCGCAACTTTCACTTTAATATGCCGAGTGCATGGCGAAGCGAAGAAGCAGTTGCTACCCATTTTTTATCGACTTAGGCCAGTCGCGGCCGAGATTCGAACTCCCGATCACGGCACTTTGGTAAGAGTTGGGCTAAAAGCAGATATTTTCAAAAGGTTTGTGTACAGTGAAAAAACAATCAGACAAAAGCAAGGTTATGTTAGTTATAATGACGCATCCCAAAGTTTTGTGGATGCAACTTTGAATTAACCACAGTCCCCTCAAGGCTAGAATTTGGGTCCACAATATGCAGTCAAATGTTTTTATTGAAGTCAAATACACGAATCCTTTTTCTAAATAGAATCTGCTGATGAAGAGCGACAGAACCATATTGACTTTGGCGCCCGTTTTAAGCTCATGGGCTTCTTGTTTTATCAACGCTGATTTTACTTTCAGAACCTACAGATGTACAAGAAAGAAGTCAAGGAAACTCGGAAGCATATACGTGTAAGTTTCGTATTAGCATAGTTAATGATCCGATCTGATCGATGTTAAAGGGGCATGGACACAGATTTGAAGTTCATATTTTCTGTATAATATCACGAATTATATATTTTAATTGCCACTTTCCTAAGTATTAAGAATAGAATTAAAATTGTGAAAGTACAAGAATGTGTCAATCAAACCCGTCTAAAAATTTAAAGTTCCAATAACATAGATGAAATAAGATTTTTAATATATTTTTTTATGAAATGCTATTATAATACATATATAAGTTGTGATATTATACAGAAAATATTAATTTCAAATTTGTGTCTATGCACCTTTAACGAGTATTTTCAAAAGCATACTAAGCTAACAATGTGATTCTTTGCTTTCCCCTATAAATATGTTTGGCTTCCGAAGACTGTAAAGTGGATATTGAATAAGAAAAATTCTTCATATTTATTTAAAGAGTATACATTAAATTTACATGTGGTTTGAATGCTACATTAAAACATCTTTGAATTCTCATGTATTATTTTTTTTAATAAAGGTACTGCTTCCTCTGGATTCTCTCAAGAGGATTTTAAAAACATATGTGTGGCAGGCATTCAATTAGGTGATAGAATCTGTGGCTTTGCCTTTTCCAAAGGAGACGATCCTGCAGAAGTAATTTTGAAAACCCGTGGCCAATTTCCAATACCATTTACAACCACGAGACTTTTACTTAAAAACGGAGAAGTTGTAGTCTATGGCTATGATGCTCTTGATACGTACATAGATTGTTGCAAAAAAAGAACTGCAGATAACTACATTTACTTTGATCACCTTTTTCTAGAACAAGACGAGGTATTACATTTAAATTTTTTGCACTGTTTTTTAATTACTATTTTCCAGAATATTAAAAATCATATTATTTAACAAAAATATACATTCAAAGTGTGTAACTCAAAAATAATTCTTGTCCTTAAATACTCTCTTGTGTTACATTGAAGAGAATTGTTATCTGTTTATCTATTTTGATATTGACAAATGTTATCTTTCAGCAAGATAATGAGATATATGTCAGAGACTGCAATGATAAAAAAGTAAAGGCAGAAGAAATTATCACAAAATTCCTTAAATGTGCCATAACTAGTGCCAAAGATGAAATCAATGATAAAATTTACAAGTCAAAAAGTCCTCCTGCTGATATTCACTTCATATTTACCGTCCCGAATCGCTGGGGAAAGAAGAAACACGAGGCTATGAAGAAAATTATCAAACAGGTATTAAAACTAATGTTAAGTAATCGAGTACACTAATTTGATCTATTATTAAGGCAAGATTTGTTTGTGAAAAATATATTCCATTTATGACAGCTCCATACGTAGGAAAAAGATCAAACTCCAAGGTCAAAGACGAGAGATAAAAGAATATAAGGGATATACATGTATCAGCGTAAAATAACTGCCTTGTATTAACTATTCAGAAATTATTGCATTATTCACAATGTTAAGGGATTTAAAAAGAAGGTATAACCTCTGATCAAGGATATGAGGACAAAGTTTTTGATGCATACCAAAAGGTCTTGACACAAGGATTAAATTTGTGAAATATGAAAGATCTAGTCTATACATTTAAAAGTTATAGAGAAGGTTAAGGGATTCAAAAGAAAGTCAGCAAATTCTAAGGTCAAGGACAAAAAGTGCAAATTGTATTCAAAGAATGTTCTTGTCATCAGGAAAAACGTTTGAAATATGATAGTTATAGAATCAACCATTTAAAAATTGGATCAAAATTAAAGTTTTGCAAGAGTATGTCAAACTCCATTGTTAATGCAAATAGGTAAATTTTATTACATGATATGGGAATTCTGGTTAAAAGGAATATTCACGTGAAGTATGAACGCCCCAGCTCCTACGACGTTATGACAAAGGAAATAATCTTTTTCAAACGCGGGTTAATTCTAATGTCAAGGTCAAATCATCAAATAAATTTTGTACGTATGAAAATGCCTGCTAAATAGCTGATGTATCAAGGTCTAAGAAACAACCATCCATATCCCCCCAGGTTTATGTTTGTTATAAGTTTGCAAAAGGGAGTTCAAACTCCAAGTTTAAGAGGTCAAGTATGTTGGTACCCTAAAAATGTCCCTTCATAGGAATAAGGAATAAGAAAATAAAATATGAAATCCTAGCTTTTACTTATCAGAAATTAAAAACAAGGTTTAAATTTCTGCGGACAAACAGACGGACAAACGGGGTGGCCCCTGGGTCACCGGTTCTGGTGTAAAGGCTGAGCTTTAATTATTAAACATGCAAAGTAAAGATGTTTTGATCCTGGAATTTAGCCGATAAACCTTCTAAATAGTTATGCTGAGGAAGAGTTTTTCTTCCTAAATTGTGAATTTTCTTGGCCCATTGGCCAGGGTTTCTGGTGTAAGGGCGGGCCTATTTTGATTTAATTTTGAAAGTGAAAACATGAACCAAGTTCAATTGTTGTGTAACAGGAAAGGAGAAAATGTATGGCTGGACCGGGAATCGAACCCGGGACCCCTGTATCTCCAGTCAGGTGCTCTACCAACTGAGCTATCCAGGCCGAGATCCACGGCTCAAACCACCACAGTTGTAAAGTCGATGATTCATACTCATGTGACCTGGGTCTCTTGTTTTTGTGTATTTTGGAAATTAGATTTTAAAATTTCAGCATTAATTTTATATATCCTTGAAAATAAAAAAAATCGCATCTACCTACTGACTCATTTTCTTTATTCTGGGTCGGAAAAGGGCAAACAAACATTATTTTAAGATATATAACATTGCTTACTTCTTTTCTTGTGTTATAGGCCTAGTAAGTTTATTATTTTATATTTAAAACATTCTTATTGTTTACCAAAACATCGATTTATTCGTTTTTAATATTATGCACAGTCATAGCATTTATATATCAAACTAGTTTCAAAAGAAAACTTAATTTGGTCGCTGAGAATACCTCGAATACTTGAACGCCTTACCATGTTTGAAATTTAAAATGATGGGAAAAAATGTGGAAATATGAAACTCTTCTGTGAATCTCACTGTAATTTTTTTGTTTACCTGAATGCAGAGAATACTAGGCAAATGAAAAATATGTTTAAAGGTATGACTTAATAGTGGCATATTTCTGCACTCAACATGCTAGATAAATTATGTTAGCATGCAAGAAAATTATGTCAACTTGCAGGAAAATTATGTTTACATGCAAGATCATTATGTTGACATGCAAGATACAAATATTTTAAGGGAATCTGATTTAAATATGGGTACGGTAAAATCCCATGCTGACGCCCATATCTGACATCGTAGATGCAAGATGCTACATATATATTAGAAGATGCAATTAACTTATGATATCATTCGAGATAATTACGTTGACATGCAAGATATTTATGTCAACATACGTGTTAATTATGTACACATGCAAGTGATGCAACTTATTGATGTCAACATGCAAGATACTTATGTTAACATAACATTACATAACATAACATAACATAACATAACATTACATAACATACGAGATATTATGTACACATGCAGGATATTTATGTTCACGTGCACCTTATTTATGTGAACATGCAAGATAATAACTTGCATATCAACTACATATCTTGCATGTTAACATAATTTTATATTGCATGTTGACATAAATAAGTTGCATGTTGACATAATTATCTTGCATGTTAATATAAATAAGTCGTATGTTGGCATTATTATCCTGCATGTTAACATAAATAAGTCGCATGATAACATTATTATCTTGCATGTTGACATAAGTCGCATATGTCTACATAATTATGTTGCATCAAAAATGTCAGATACAGGCATTAGAAGTAAATTTACCAATATTTAAATTATATTTTCTTATAAGATTGGTAAGTTGCATGTCAACAAAATAAACTTGCATGTTGACATAAATGTGTTGCATGTCTACATAATTATGTTGCATGTTAACATAATTTATCTTGCATGTAGGGGGCAGAAATAGGCCACCATCTTTAAAAAGTTTTAAACTAAAATTCGCGGAACTTGGCCATAAAAATGACTACATTTATTACATACATGTCATCCTTAGAATTAAAGAAATGCATTTTGGTAAATATAAGAAACATATTTTCATTTACAACCTGGAAGCAGTGATTTGATTTTATACATGAGTGTACGTCTATTTTCAGCTTTTTCAAGCCGAATCTCCAAGGAAGAAGGTTGACATTTTGTTTGCCTGTTTAAGCGTAACACCTTTTTTACATGAAGTAAAAGAAGAAGTTCTGTGCCACAATTTCAACGTGGAAAACTTAGCTTTTATTGACGGAACAACCTATGCAGTATTAAATGTTGGAACATGTATGACTGAATTAAGGTCTTCCGTCTTCAGCGGAAGACCTTCTTGTTATTCTTAGGTTTCTTTTCCACTATTTTTATTATTATTATTGTTTTTTTTCTTACCGATTTTGTGCACGCGAGTTCTCAGAAACGGCTCGATGGATTTTCATGAAACTTTCAGGGCTGATAGAACATCAAACAAACCTGATATATAATTTTTTGTTTTGATGACGTCACTTCCGGTTTTGAGATTTTCGCGATTTGGTGATTTTTAGAGGGTCACTTTGTCCGCTAGTTTTCTCAAAAACGGCTTAGGATAGAAACTTGAGTGTTTCAGCAATGATAGATCAATATATGTAGATGTGACATACGTATTTCATTTTACCGGAAGTGCTGCATGCCGACGCTCGCTATGGTCCGAAAAGGGGCATGTCCAGAATTTTGAAATTTCTAACACCTTTTCTTCGATATCTTTTTACATACAAATATTTCGTTAAGACATATAGAACAAAAGAAGTGTAAAATTTCTTGATCTTTCAAACGATATCTCGAAAAAAGGGCTGGTCCCTATAATTAAGGGCCGAGAGGGGCCAAACGTTTTTCCTTTATATCTCAAAAAGTATTGAGAATTTGTAATATGTCAAAGAAGCAAAGTTGTTCAAAATGCTAAGCTTAATCTATCTGGATCGTCAAAATTCATCCGGCGACGTCACTTCCGGTCAAACCGGAAGTAGTACGAAAATGCATATTTTTGCCGTTCTTGACATATTTTTGGATAGCACATGTCACTGGAATCATAAAAACTTAATTTTCCGTCCGTCGACATCACTTCTGGTCAAACCGGAAGTAGCCAAAAATAGCTTATTTTTTAAGGTTTTGACGCAAAATTGAATTTTTAAAGTCAATGGAGACAACTTAGCTTATTATTTTCTTTTGTTGACGTCACTTCCGGTCAAAACAGGACGGAAGACCTACTCGTTGCTTTGCAACGAACTTTGCTCTAGTTATAATTACTTTGCATATAAAACAATAAGATCTACACATGGTTAACCTTTTATGTATACATTAAAATATTGACTGAATATATTGAAAAGACATATAATTCTAAAAGATGACCTATTAGCAAACGCATATTAAAAGATAATACAGTCATGTATCTTTAATTTTCATAGAGATAACATACTCGATTTCAGAGTACATTTCCACGTTAGCAAAATAGAAAATCCTTCTTCATATTCTTTAAAACCAGAATAAATCTATTTACTTCAGAATTTCAAAACTAGAATCTATTTGAAATAATAATATATATATATATATATATATATATATATATATATATATATATATATATATATATATATATATATATATATATATATATATATATATATATATCTTAGAGATTTTGTTTCAAAGATATCTGTCTTTGGAATTTGAAAATGTATAGAGTTTAAGAAGAAAAAAAAACTGAAGCAGTTGAACCTTTTGGTCAGTGGGTCTTTTGATTTTATTATTCTTATTTATTTTTTTCTTAACTTTTATTATTATTTTTTTTTTCATTTTTTGTTTTTGCCAGATGCATGCGAGATCAGTTTTATGACAGCTTTTAGTCACAAGACGGATACAATATATTACCAAAATTTCCAGCATTATGGGGAAGACGAACCAGACAAACGCTTTTTGCGAATTTTGATTGAAATCTTTTCAGAGAAACCAATAGATAGACTGAAAAGGGATTATCCGGGTGATTACTATACAATGATGCAAAGTTTTGAAATGTGGCAGCTTGATTGTGACAAAAGCACAACAGATATAAAAATTCAGTTTTCATCTAACTTCTTAAATGCAGTTCAAAATGAAACAGGTACTTTACCGAAAAAAAAACTGAAATTGTCAGAGTATAATGATAAAATGAGATTAGAGATCTCTAAAGGAAAAACTTCTCTTTTCGTTAAGAAAGACGTATTGATGACGTGCTTTTCTAAGGTAGCAGAAATTGCATCTAATTTAGCCAAGACAGAAATTGTTCAAAAAACCGAAGTAGATGTTAAATGTCTTTGTGTCACAGGCATATATTCAAAACCAAAGATGGTGAAAGACTCTTTAAAACGAAGTTTTCCGAAAAGAACAGTTCTTTTTCCGTCGGTTCCAGATTTAGTGGTAGCAAAAGGAGCTGCATTCTACAGATGTTCTCAACTTACTTCCCAAAAAAATCATTAAATTGTGAAATTTTATTATTTCAACTTGTGTGCCTCAAACAGTTGTTTTACATGTATATAAATGATATTGAAAGATAAAAGACTATGTCTTCAACCTGATGATGTTGATGTTTATTACTTTTATAAAAAACCGTTTGTATTAATAAGTGGTGTAATACATGTGCATAAAATAAATTAAAAGATAAAACGACAGTTTTCCGGCTTTATTATTATTATTATTATAAAGATATTCAGAGGAATTTTCTTATCATGATTGCACACGATTTCTTACTTAAAGTCTTTCGTCCATACGGAAGACGTTAAATATTTCGATATAGATGTCGCTAAAAAGTTGTTCTTTAACATATTATTGATCTCATGAATTTGTTATTTTGTTCGAGTCTTGTATAATAAATGAGCTAGAAGCTTGACCCATAAACGGGTAAAGACCAGTGAACGTGGAATCTTTATGCACATAACTGAAATAAACCTGCTATATATGATAAACCTATGCAAAAAAATATTTAAAATATTCCTTTAAACTTCAAATAAGTTTTAACGTGCTCTGTGGTTTCCTTCCAAATTATTGAGTCACACATTTTCAATACGTCTCGGTTCTTTTTATAATACATTTTTTTTATAATTACATCATATATTATATTAATTAGTATTGGTTGGTAATTAAATTTTTAAAGAAATAATTAGAGAATTTAACTTTGAGTACTTTTTTTTTAAAATTCCACTGCTGTTTTGTACATTATACATGTACTTGTACATGATATGTCGTCCAAGATAACAGATTTCCGAACAAAAAGAGAAAAAACGGCAGCTATTTGAGCCCCTTTTCACCGTCAGTATACTCTTCATAACATACCTGTTTACAGAAAGAGATCGTAAATTTTCAATAAAATATTTCATATAATATGTAATTTGATTTGTATGTATAAGTATATGGAAGGCTTTATTGTGCTGAATTTTAAAATACATGTATGTAATACATATTTTTTAACATACGATAAAAGATCGGCAACACTTTCTTTTTTTTAAACAAAACTTTGAGATTACCCCTGTAAAACAATATGAATGAAATTGATGACGCATGACTTGATGACGTTAAGCACTGTTGATGTTGACACGCCTCAAAAGAAAGTAGTACAAAAGAGCAAGAACCATCTTATACATAAAATGGCCTTGTACTTATATCAATTATTAACTACTAACCTCTTTTCCATTTCATATGTCAAAATAAAGTAGACACTTGCTGCTTTCATTTTCTATAATAAAATTTCGTTTTGAGAATCCAGATATTGGAAAACGGGTTTGAGAAATTGCAATGTTCTTGAAATTTGCAGAAAACATGCGTATTTGACTACCTTCAGCAAAGAATTAAAATATGAGCACAGCCCACGATCCAAAAAAATAAAACATGTTTTTTGATTGTCAGAAGCAGAGCTTTCATTATGTGTTTGCATATTTTGGATCAGAGGCTGTGCTGTATATGAAATATTGAAAAAATGCTTCAACTTTAGGTCATTTTCAAAGGAATTTACAAGATCTAAGGAAAATGACGCATTTTATGACGTCATAATGCATTGACTAAATTGAGAATTTCGTCACGATTAATAGATACGTGGTCACCAACACTCCTAGTGATAAATATTGCATTTGCAACCTAAACTGAGCGGTTTTGATTTTTCAGAAAATCTCAGGGCCAAATAAGGCCCAACGTGGCTCTTGCTGTTGAAAATCTGTTATCTGAGTCTTTAAAAACAATATGTGACAATTGTTGGAGCTTTACTCTTAACGAACGTTTGACTGAAAGTTGTAAGGACCAAGGGATCATGAAGTTTACTCTGAAGTCATTCTTTGTACTGTGGCAGTAGGTCTACAAACCATGTGTGATGCTAGCTGATTCATTGCAGATCCATGGTAATTACACATACACTACTAGGTAGGCATAAGTACGAGGGACGTTCAATAAATAATGTCGACGTCATTAGCTCGATAACATACAACATAGAAATTAAATGACATTAAGCTAGACTTTCTTTAATTATTGGATCTTTAAACACATTTATATATATAAATGGTTTATGGTGGTTGCACTGTGTGTTCATTTTTAGTTTTATACGCAGTACTAGCTATTAATAGATTCAGCTACTGCTCTGCATAGCTCCTAGTGGAATTTTCCATGCGTATGCGCATTGGTTATTTTATTTGTAAACATTGGCTGCATTCATTGTCTAACCAGAAAACACGGAAAATATCCCAATAGCTTATTTGATATGGAACTGCCCCGTAAGGGAGTATTATCTTATTGAGGATCGTGTCTTACAGAACGTTTTTAACAGGTAATTTGTTCGATTCTGAGCCTATTTATGTCATAAGGCGAATAGCGTCACTTCGTCTTCCAGTTTGCACATCGCTGTAACCTGATATCCACAGCGCATCGTTAAGTACAATCGCCAAGATGCATATTCTTTTTGTTGGTGACTCACATGTACGCAGATTTGGAAACTTCGTGAATGGTAAACATCCCGCTGAAACATTTAATATTAGGAACTTGGGATTGTTCGAATTCTATGGTATAAGTGGCGGATCAATCGGCAATCACGCACACACCCGCGCCATCACTGCCGCGGTTAGAGATAAGCGACCACAGCATGTCATTGTGAATTTAGGAGGCAACGATTTAGATTCCTCTGAGGACATTGACTGTATCGTAATGAGACTGATTTCATTTGTGTCACTACTTAAGAGACAATTCAACCTCAAAAGCTTGGTGATTTTGAGTTTTATTCCCGGGGATCGGACAAGAAATATCAGCGCTTCGGAATACACTCGTCGAGTGAATCAGGCTAATCGCTTGTTGAAGACTTGCGTAACACAAGATGATATGCACTTTTGGAAACTGAAAGGTTTTACCTGTAGCAGGAATAACGTGACGGAGTCCATTTAAATAATCTTGGACAGTACAAACTCTTGAGACAAATTAGGGGAATTCTCCTTCTGTTATCCAGGGATCACTAATTACCCTTGAAGACAGGGGCTTCTCGGGTCCACAGGCGCAAAATACACATTATGTGTTCTTGTTAACATTTTAAATTTCTTTAACTTTTATTTTTATGATCATCATGCATACAATATTTGATTTAATAAGTAGTATAAAAATTTTATGGTTTATATTACATAATAATTTCATGAATCGTCCATATTTTTGCACCTTTGGTTAAGCATATTCAGCAATGTTTACAATTCAATTATTTTGATTACAGCAGAAGTTTGTGTCCTAAGGTGAATCTACATCCGTGGGTTCCAATATTGTTTTTATTTGACCTGGAAGGTAAGAGTATTTTGGCTACCTATTTCTGTATGACGAAAAACCTAATGATTTAGCCGTAGTCGTTTCTTTGGTCTAAATCATTCATGTTCTAACTGCTCAATTATTTGGCAGTAACAACTTTTATTTATGCTTCAAATGGAAGCACCACAATTAGTGGCCAATGCTAATATATGAACTATAATTAGTTCACCACACTGCTTCGGCAGATTGTGTTTTTATACATGATTGAACCATTCTGCTTCGGCAATATGGTTTTTTTTATATGTATATGGATCATGATTTGTTACCACACTGCTTCGGCGGATAGTGGTTATATACGATCCAACCACACAGCTTCGGCATATAGTGGTATTATATTTTATATTATGATTTTTATCACACTGCTCTAGCAGTTCGTGTTTTTATATAATTCATCCACACGGCTTAATAATTCGGCCGATTGTGGCAAAATATGTACACACATATATTTATATAATATACTACTTTATTTATCAATAGAAAACAAAAGATATGATTTATAATCATATATGCAGTTAACGCAGGCCTTAATGGTTCTGATTATAATGATATTTTCAGAAAACACTGATTGGTAGCACTCGTTACAGTTGTTTCTAATTACCACCTTATTTATGACATGAATTTTCTTAGGATGGCTTCGAGACCAAAACGAAGAAGAACCTCGACCAAACGTCAGGATCCCCCTACAACAACGACAACGTCAGAGACGAGAAGCGAAGACGTTAGTATAATTTTCCAGCAATGCATGTCAAAAATCATGCCGACGATCGAGGAGACGTTTAAAACGTGTATGGACGATTATTTTAAGTCCAAGTCTGCATCTTCGCCTCCGCCAACTGCATCTTCGCCTCAGCCAACTGCATCCTCGCCTCAGCCAACTGCATCTTCGCCTCCGCCACCAGGGCCACTGGAACCAAGTATGACGTCGCCAGCAACTACACTCCTTAGTGAAATTACAGGTGATCAATCTCTAGATAGTACGAACAAAGATTGTGTAGCTAACTCAGATCTCCCCCAGGCCCTATCTGCCTTGTCCCTAACGTTAGGCGTAGATCAAAAAACACGGGCAAAAATTCAGAGTGACCAGTTCGTCAAATTTGCTTCACTAATTAAACCCATTGACCCTGATGAAGAAGAAAGTTACAAGACTGTAGAAAAAGACGGACATCTGATTTTTAAAAAGACTTCAGACAAAACCCAAATCACTTCCATCTACAAATGGATCGAGTGTTTTCATATTTTTGTTGCTATCTACGCGGAAAAACACCCTAACGAAGTACCAAATCTTATGGTATACGGCCAGATCGTGCAAAAAATTTCTAAATCAAGCGGTGACAAGGCGGCAATTGCCTACGATGAAAGTTTCCGACGCTGGCGACAACTGGATCCCAAAGCCTGCCCATGGCAATCCAAAAATATAGAATTGTACCAGGAAGCCATGGCACAGGGACTAGAGCTTAAGTTTAAAAATAGAAACCAGCCCTTTCGTGCCTCAAACACCCAGGCTAAGCACCGCTATTGCTTCTCATACAACAATAACAGATTCTGTAAAACTAAAGGATGTCCACACCCCATGTCTGCCAAATCTGTGCAGCTAGACACCACAAGAGACAATGCCCAAAGTTTAAACCAAGTGACAAACCTCAGACACAGAACTCCAAACAAGGCGCAACCAGAACAGAATCGACAGCCCCCCTTAAAAACTCTGATTCTATCGTTACTCCGATCAATGTTCAACAGCTTCAAAATTATTTAGCTGGATATGACCATTCTTTATCGCAGTTTTTAATAGAAGGCTTTTCTCAAGGTTTTAAGATCCCATATATGGGGGAGCGTAAATTTAGGTCTTCTCGTAACCTATCTTCTATCTTAGGCAAAGAAAAAAATATTACAGGACAAGATTTGTAGGGAAATCGAAGCTAAAAGAGTCTCTGGTCCTTTTCTATTGCCACCTGTCCAAAATATTCAAATTTCCCCCTTAGGTCTAGTCCCTAAAAAAGCCCCTGGGGATTTTAGGTTAATCCATCATTTGTCTTACCCGGAAGGGAACTCCATCAATTCCCACATCCCCAAAGAAATGACTACAGTAAGTTACCAATCAATTGACACAGCCATCGCAATCATCAAACAAGTTGGCAGGGGGGCTCTTCTCGCAAAAACTGACTTGGAAAATGCCTACAAACAAACACCCATACATCCACGGGATTTCGAACTGCTAGGTTTCAAGATATCTGGGTTATATTATTATGACAAAACACTTCCATTTGGCTTGAGTTATTCTTGCCATCTCTTTGAGAAGTTCAGCTCAGCTTTGCAGTGGATCTTAGAGAACAAGTTCGGTGTAACTTATTGCGTGCACATACTAGATGATTTCCTTTTCGTGGGTCCCCCCAGGTCCCCAGACTGCTATAGCTCACTTTTAGCATTCTATTCCCTTGCCAAAGATATCAATCTCCCTATCAAATCCGAGAAAACTGTTCACCCAACTACCACCTTGACATTTTTGGGGTTGGAATTAGACACATTAAAATTGGAAATTAGACTTCCTGCGGATAAGTTGCAGCGTTTAAAATCTGAAATAAAATCATTCCAAAACAAACGCACCGCTTCACTCCGCCAACTGCAGTCATTGATAGGTACCTTAAATTATGCTTGCGCAGTCATTCCCCCTGGACGCACATTCCTTAGGCGGATTATCAATCTTACTCGAGGTTTGCAAAATCCTTTTCATCATAGGAATCTAGACAAAGAAGCCCGAGCCGATTTGAGAGCATGGGCCATTTTCCTGGATCATTTTAACGGCAAAGCCTTTTTCCCCTCAGGGGTACAACACACATCCTCCTCTTTGCACTTATTTACTGACGCTAGCAATCTGGGGCTCGGCTGTACTTTTGGTAGGAAATAGTTTTATGCTCCCTTTCCTAATCAATGGGTTGATTTTCACATCTCCGTCAGGGAATTCCTGCCTATTGTGATCGCTTTCGACATATGGGGACATTTATTTTCTAACAGCACTGTTATTCTGCACTCTGACAACCTAGCAGTTGTTCACGTCATCAACAAAAACTCTTCTAAAGATGCATCGCTTATGCAACTCATGAGACGACTGATGGTCTTATCCCTAACATACAATATACATTTTCAAGCTAAACATATTCAAGGAGTCAAGAATATAGCTGCAGATCTACTTTCTCGATTGCAGGTCAAAGAGTTCCAAACACGGTTTCCTTACATGGGTCCGGCCTGCACCCCTGTGAACCCAGCATTGATAAGTCTCTGAATCAAACCGCAGAGTCCTTGCTGTATCGTTCTCTATCACCGTCCACAGTTGCAGCATATAAATCAGCATTCCAGGCATACAAGCTCTTTATATTACAAACTTACGGTCAAGAAACGTCACCACTACCACCCGGTTTGGAACACCTAGCTTACTTCATAGCAAATTGTTACCAAACAAATTTAGCTGCGTCCACTACTCGAACCATTATATCCGCTCTTAGTTTCATTTTTCAGTTAAGTTCTTCTCAGGATGTTACCCAACATTTCATCATCAAAAAAATGCTTCAAGGCTTTCTAAAAGCAAAACCGATTGGCGACCCTAGACTCCCAATAACCCCAGATATTCTCCTAAAACTAGTACAGGCCCTCCCCTACACTGCAGATTCATATTTTTCCAGAATTTTGCTTCAGGCCATGTTTATCTTAGCTTATTGCGCCTTTCTAAGGGTAGGAGAAATTACTAAAACCAACAGCAAAACCCATCATTATCTATTAGCAAAACACGTATCAAAGGGTAACAAAACAAATGGCATAGGTTTCCTAGAAGTTGCAATACCTCATTTCAAACATTCAAAGTCAAATTCTACAACTATCCACCTATGTCAGAACACCATAAACCCATTGCTATGTCCAAATCGCGCGATCACAGATTTCCTTAACATCAGAAAACACGATTCCCCAGAAGCACCCTTTTTTCTTTTATGGACAACACCCCAGTCCCCCGCCAATATTTCACTTCACAACTTCGGCTAGCTCTTAAATTTAGCAATTTAGATCTTTCGAAATATCAGGCCCACAGTTTCAGGATAGGTGCAGCAACAACAGCCGCTGCAACGGGATACACAGAAATTCAAATTCAAAACATGGGTCGTTGGAAGTCCAGTGCCTTTAGGAAGTACATTCGCATCCCTTCTATTACCCCGTATTAAGATTATCTGGAGACAGGGGCTTCAGGTGTTTTTGCCACAACAACTCGTTTTTTAGCTCACCTGAGCCGAAGGTTTAAGTGAGCTTTTCTGATCACATTTTGTCCGTCGTCCGTCCGTCTGTCCGTCCGTCTGTCCGTCTGTCTGTCTGTCCGTCTGTAAACTTTTCACATTTTCGACTTCTTCTCAAGAACCACTGGGCCAATTTTGACCAAACTTGATACAAAGCATCCTTGGGTAAAGGGGAATTTAAATTGTTAAAATGAAGGGACATATCCCCTCGCAAGGGGAGATAATCAAGAAAAGACAAAAATAGGGTGGGGTCATTAAAAAATCTTCTTCTCAAGAACCACTGGGCCAGTAAAGCTGAAACTTATGTGGAAGCATCCTGGGGTAGTGTAGATGCTAAATTGTTCAAATCATGACCCCAGGGGGAAGGACGGGGCCACAATGGGGAATCAAAGTTTTACATAGAAATATATAGGAAAAATCTTTGAAAATCTTCTTCTCAAGAACCACTGGGCCAGAAAAGCTGAAACTTATATGGAAGCATCCTGGTATAGTGTAGATTCTAAATTGTTCAAATCATGACCCCCGGGGGAAGGGCGGGGCCACAATGGGGAATCAAAGTTTAACATAGAAATATATAGGAAAAATCTTTGAAAATCTTCTTCTCAAGAACCACTGGGCCAGAAAAGCTGAAACTTATGTGGAAGCATCCTGGTACAGTGTAGATTCTAAATTTTTCAAATCATGACCCCCGGGGGAAGGGCGGGGCCACAATGGGGAATCACAGTTTTACATAGAAATATATAGGAAAAATCTTTGAAAATCTTCTTCTCAAGAACCACTGGGCCAGAAAAGCTGAAACTTATGTGGAAGCATCCTGGTATAATGTAGATTCTAATTTGTTCAAATAATGACCCCCTGGGGATGGGTGGGGCCACAATGGGGAATCAAAGTTTAACATAGAAATATATAGGAAAAATCTTTGAAAATCTTCTTCTCAAGAACCACTGGGCCAGAAAAGCTGAAACTTATGTGGAAGCATCCTGGTATAGCGTAGATTCTAAATTGTTCAAATCATGACCCCCAGGGAAAGGGCGGGGCCACAATGGGGTATCAAATTTTTACATAGAAATATATAGGAAAAATCTTTGAAAATCTTCTTCTCAAGAACCACTGGGCCAGAAAAGCTGAAACTTATGTGGAAGCATCCTGGTACAGTGTAGATTCTAAATTGTTCAAATCATGACCCCCAGGGAAAGGGCGGGGCCACAATGGGGAATCACAGTTTTACATAGAAATATATAGGAAAAATCTTTGAAAATCTTCTTCTCAAGAACCACTGGGCCAGAAAAGCTGAAACTTATGTGGAAGCATCCTGGTATAATGTAGATTCTAATTTGTTCAAATAATGACCCCCGGGGGATGGGTGGGGCCACAATGGGGAATCAAAGTTTTATAAAGAAATATATAGGAAAAATCTTTGAAAATCTTCTTCTCGGGAACCACTGGGCCAAAAAGCTGAAACATATGTGCCCATGGAAGGATCATGTGGTAGTGTAGATTTCAAAATGTCTAAATTATGATCAGTGGGGTAGGATGGGGATGCATTATGTATAACAAGGGTGAAATCTGCTAAAGAACAGAATGGTCAAAGCTTCTCAGGTGAGCGATGTGGCCCATGGGCCTCTTGTACCTTAAGACAGGGGCTTAAGGTAATCCTTAATATGAACATTGTTACTTAGAGACAGGGGCTCTAAGTATGGTTAATGTTAGTAGTTTTTCTTGAGACAGGGGCTCAAGTAAAACCTTAACTTCTAAAGTATTGTCCTTTCATGTATTTTGATTTTGTGTTACACTTTCATTTGATCCTTATAGTAATTGTCAGCAAGAGAATGGTGTGACATTTAATTTTTGTTTTGTCTATGATGATGTTGTTGGATGGGGGCGGTAACAAGCCAGCATGAGCTTCTTTTCCTTCTTGCGCCGGTATTACAATGCTACCTTGTTACGGTGGCAGATGACGCCCCATATTGTCTTTGTGTTGTACATGTATATATGCTGACATTTTTTAGATAGATGTTTTTTGGATTAACAATTTTTACAATTGAGACTCAGGGACGTTTTTTTAATTTTAACACAGGTGCTTAATTGTTGTCAATAGTATTTTTTGTTTCTTTTTCTAGTCAGAATCGTGCACCGACCTTGCGGTTTCATAGCATAATATTTTTGTCTTTAGTCCTTTTAATTTGATTGTATGTATTTTTATTGTTTGTCATTTATTGCACTTGTTTGAATAAATGACCATTCTTATTCCTCTACTTTTTGTTACTGTTATATTTTCGGGGAGATTGCCAAACAACATAAAACACATTTATATATATAAATGGTTTATGGTGGTTGCACTGTGTGTTCATTTTTAGTTTTATACGCAGTACTAGCTATTAATAGATTCAGCTACTGCTCTACATAGCTCCTAGTGGAATTTTCCATGCGCATGCGCATTGGTTATTTTATTTGTAAACATTGGCTGCATTCATTGTCTAACCACCACCCTCCCCTTTACCTTTTTTATTTTGTTGTATATATTTTAAAAATGCCTTCTTTTTTAGGCCATTTTAGCCGCCAGAGCAGATGACGCCCCATATTGTCTTTGTGTTGTACATGTATATATGCTGACATTTTTTTTTAGATAGATGTTTTTTGAATTAACAATTTTTACAATTGAGACTCAGGGACGTTTTTTTAGTTTTAACACAGGTGCTTAATTGTTGTCAATAGTATTTTTTGTTTCTTTTTCTAGTCAGAATCGTGCACCGACCTTGCGGTTTCATAGCATAATATTTTTGTCCCTAGTCCTTTTAATTTGATTGTATGTATTTTTATTGTTTGTCATTTATTGCACTTCCCATATTGTCTTTTTGTTGTACATGTATATATGCTGACATTTTTTAGATAGATGTTTTTTGGATTAACAATTTTTACAATTGAGACTCAGGGACGTTTTTTAGTTTTAGCACAGGTGCTTAATTGTTGTCAATAGTATTTTTTGTTTCTTTTTCTAGTCAGAATCGTGCACCGACCTTGCGGTTTCATAGCATAATATTTTTGTCCCTAGTCCTTTTAATTTGATTGTATGTATTTATATTGTTTGTCATTTATTGCACTTGTTTGAATAAATGACCATTCTTATTCCTTTACTTTTTGTTACTGTTATATTTTCGGGGAGATTGCCAAACAACATAAATGAATTTATAACAGTTTATGTGACCACTTTTCATCACATAGCTTCATCGTGAGAAGCTGGGAAACAAGGGCTATTCGAGACACTGCATTAAGAATCAGTAAACTAGAGTGAAAATAAAAGCTTCATTAAAGCACCTGTAAAACGTCTTAAAAATCCCAAAGAAATTTTAACTGAAATATGTGACATTTACATCAACCAATGCCTGTTTTATAGACAAATAAGCAAGTGGATTTCAATGATAAAAAATTATATAATGGGCATCAAAAATGGGTGCCGTCCTTGCCAACAAAAATTACAACAACTTATGTACAATTTGCCCAATTTCAACAAATAATATCTGATGATGTATGACTGACTTTAAGACACATAGCAAATTTGATAGACATCATATCGGGAGTAGTTTACAATGTTTATAAGAAACGTTTGACGGTAAAAAAGCTTGGTACTCAAAGATCACCCTATATTTTGAAAAAATGAGTGAAAACGACAGTGTGTAGGAATGTCTTAAAAATTATTTTAAAATATCAGTAATTGTAGTTATCCTTGTTTGTTTTATATTCAAATAGATAATGGAACAAAATTCTATTGCTTAAAACACTCAACACAAAATTTACCATAAGACGTACTTGATAAAAACAGCAATGGTCCGAGAAGAGCAAAGGTATACAAGAGCACAAAGACAGATTGATATGCATTTTTAAAAAAAATATTAGTGGTACTGTTGTTCAATTTCGTATTCGGGGAGACAGTTTAATTTCGGGAGAAGTCTAGAAAGCAATTTTTTTACAAAAAAATCGAAAGGTTTACTAGAGGAAGGATCTAGAATCAGGAATCCACTTCAATAAATTTCTTCATGACAGCGTCCAAACCCGCACCCCTGAAGAGTAAAGGGGTTTTCGGGATAAAGGAAAGTTAATATTTTTTCACATTAACAATATTCGCCAGATCTTTTGACTTGTTTCTATTTCCAAACTTGAAATATCACCTTTTAGAAAGAAAAGAACAAGTCCAGGAAATCATTGGATCTGCCATTTTCCAGTATACTAAGGGTCATACCCAAAAATGAGTTCTAAATACAATCAGAAATTAGATGAAATATTTTACGGACATCTGTTTTAATCAAAAGAGATTAATAAGTAAAATCATGAATACTAAATCATTGAAAAGCGTCTTTTGCTTCTTTCCAAGCCCGATGACATTATTTATTGAACGTCCCTCGTAGTATTATATAAAAAAGCGTTGTTGAAAGTGTTTAAGGAATCTTGTTACAACAACTTAACTGCTAGGCCTTACTTGCTCTTGAAAACTTTATAAGGGGGAGGGGGGTTAACATCCATCTTTACGTAGCCAGTACATATGCCTTGATAAAATGAGACACTTCTTTGAGGTCAACGTGTCTTTTTCCTTGATCTTAACGACATTAACTTTATCATTCCTTTCATAAGGACAAGAATTTTCAAAAATAAAAGTTTCAATAAAGTAAAATCTTGAAGCGAGGGATTGTGTCAAACCAGAAGCGCTATTGATAAAGCATCTAGCCGTGTATATTGATTGATTGATTTTATATTGTTTAACGCCGAGTCGGCAATATTTCAGCCATATTCCGGCGGTCTACCCGTGTATAAAGTAAAGCAAAGGTTTATCTCATGGGTAGTATCCTCCACACGTATGAGATAAAAATGTATACTTTTAACTTTTTAACAAGAATCTGTTATTGACAATTAAAAGTGAAAAGTTTAGATAAAAGACCCAATACTGCCTGAGGACGAAACAAAAATATGGGAGAAGGTTGTTTTTGGATCGAAAAATGAAGAGACACTTCAGTGCACCATCGTCTTCTACTGCTGCAAATTTTTCGGTTTGAGAGGACACGATGAACGCAATTCTCTTGAGTGCAACCAGTCTGTCGTGGAAGAAGTCAGTCGAGGAGACATTGAGTTCACTGGAAAATAAAACAAAACTTTTAAGGGAGGATTGGCGCATAAGGAGCTTTACAACAAACAAATAAGACATTACTGCCAGCCTGGAAAGTTAAGTTCTGATTATAAATTATTGCTAGCAAGTATATTGTCTTTTTTACTTTATAGAGAATATTATATCCGCCCCCTTCATCTCGTAATGCCCCCACCAGATTTTTGAAATACCTCCCTTTTAATTTTTTTTTCTCTTACACTTACCCTAACAAAAAAATACTATAGTTAACTATAGTTTACTATAGTTAACTATAGTGATAACTTTGACACTTTGAAAAAAATTATCAAAAACTTTGACACTTTGAAAAAACTTTGGCGAAAACATTAATACTTTGAAAAACTTTGGCGAAAACTTTGACACTTTAAAAAAACTTTGGCGAAAACTTTGATACTTTGAAAAACTTTGGCGAAAACTTTGACACTTTGAAAAACTTTGGCGAAAACTTTGACACTTTGATTTACTATAGTTAACTATACTATACTATACTATATTATTGTAAACTTTAGTTAAGGTCAAGATCTAGTAAATAACTTTAGACTACTTTCTTGGTGCTAGATCCATTATGACGTCATAATCAATTTCAAGTTTCTTTTTCCCGTACTTTACATCTTTAGCAGAATTATGTAGCAAATAGGTTTTGACATGACATTCAATTTGAAATCATATGAAAAGTAAACCGGATACCTATATTAAATTTGATATTGATTTAAAGAAGAGGCCATGAACATACTAATTACCGTTTTCTGAGAGACTGTAGGCAATCTGGATGCATTTCGTATGGCGAATATGAAAAAACTCCTATATTTATGACTGGTTTTCTTAATTTTTCATTGAAGATGACAGTTTAAAATACAATTTTTCATCTTGTTTACCTTCAATTTATGCCCCGAAACACCTTATTTGACCAAGCTAAAAAATGTAAAACATCAATAAAGGAATTTATTTTTCAACTTTGATAAATCTGTAGGCACCCTTCATTTACTAGATCTTGACCTTAACTTTTGTAAACTATAGTTTTTTTTGTTAGGGTAGCCCCCCCCCCCACAACTTTCATTTTGCTTCCAATGCCAATGGAGTGTCGAGTATAGGTCTAAATTTGCAGCCCTCCACCGGCAGTACGTGGCGTTTCCATATGAGTGAAAAATCTCGAGAGGAACATTTAACAAAACACAAACAAACAAACAAACAATTCCACTACGGGACGTGGAGACTGTTTCTTCGGATGAGACCGTATAAACCGAAGTCCCCCGTAGCAGTTGGTGCTGACATGAAAAAGATCCCGCACTGCTCAATAGCCTTGAGTGTCGAGTATAGGTCTGAATTTGCAGCCCTCCACCGACAAGTGGTGGCATTTCCATGTGAGTGAAAAATCTCGAGAGGGAAGTTAACAAGCAAACAATTCCACTACAGAACGTGGAACATGGTCCTTCGGATTAAACTGTTTAAACTAGGTCACGTGTAGCAGTAGGTTCTGGCATGAAAAAGATCCCTCACTGTTCAAAGGCCGTAAGTGCCTAGTACAGGCCTAAATTTACAGCTCTCCACTAGCAAATGCTGGCAGCTCAGGGGACTTTAAGGAGGAATGCCACATCAAAATTTTAGTTCGTAGATCTTTAAGACATCCCTAATTAATTATGGTGTCAGCATTGAAAGGCCGATATTAGCTCTTGATTATTTTATATGATTTTTTTTTGTATTTTTTTCAAAGAAAATGAAAAAAAAATGATTTCTATCCCAATTAGATATTTTAGAGTTGAAAGTTTGCTGTAAATGAATGCATCATATGAACATTTAATAAAATATGTAAATAAAAGCCATATAGACTTTTGAATTTTTTAAATAAAAAATTATTTATGAAAATAAAACACACTATTTGTGAATATTTTTTAAACCTTTGGTTAAAATCTTCACAAAACCAGTCGCAACTAGGGAGAACATGTTAGTTTATCATATTTAGAAAAGAAATTGAAATGAAATCGCCAAAATTTAGAGAAATTAATTTTTTTTTTAATTTTCGGCCAATCCGGATCAAAATTAAACCGATCCCAACCAGAACTATGCAATTTTTGGAAATAAATAATATTTTTCCAAGAATACTAGTTTGATTAGATGTAATAAGGGTTAAAAAGTAATTGATCTTGACAATCAAATACATTTCTTAATTGTAAATACATGAAGGAGGCAATTAATTTTTATTTTATTAATTTTGTTTTAATTTTGATCGGGATCAGTTGAATTGTGCTGGGATTGGTCCAAATATCTATAAAAAAAATTTTCCTCAAATTTCACAATTTCATTTCAATTTCTTTTTAAAGATATCATTGACAAACATATTCTCCCTAGTTGTGACTAGTTTTGTGGAGATTTTAACCATAGGTTTAAAAAATAATCACAAATAATGTGTTTTATTTTCATTAATAATTTTTTATTAAAAAAATTAAAAAGTCTATCCAGTCTTTCTTTTTATGTTTTATTAGACATTCATATTATGAAATTATTTACAGCAAATTTTAAACCGTAAAGCACCTTATTTGCAAATAAAATATTTTTTTTATTTCTTTGAAAAAATACAAAAAAAAATCATATAAAATAATTGAGAGATAATACTTGTCTTTCAATGCTGAAACCATTGTTTAAAAGGGATGACTTAAAGATCTATAAAATAAAATATTGGTGTGGCATTCCTCCTTAACAACAAACAGACAATCAAACAAACATTTTTGTTCGACTACAGAGCAGAGCAGCACTTAGTGATCAATTTACCTGGCGTCTGACTGTCTGTCTAGCTGTCCGTCCGTCTGTCCGATTGTCACACCTTATATCTCGATAACTGCAAGAGGTATGGATTTCATATTTTGTAAATATATAGGTTGTCACAATGGCTTGTGTATATTACCATGGTTTCTGACCTAGATATCCTTGAACTTGACCTTTGACCTACTTTTTAAAATAACCAATAATGCCGATATACCACTTTTTTTATATTTGAGAGGTAAGTCTATGTTATTTAGAATGCGCACTGTTTGCCGTAAAACATTTTGAAAAATTCCAGCGTTACAGTCCACTTGACCTTTGACCTATTTTTCAAAATATACTGCGGAGGGTTAACTTTAACTAAATGTGTCTTTTGAAATCAGAGAGGCAGGTGTTTGATAATTGACTTTCATATATGTTTATGAGCTCATGACAATATACTTTGACACTGTATGAAATAGAGTAACCACAAAAACTAGAATTTGGTGCTATGAAAATACAACAGGATCGGTATTCCAAAATGGATGTTGAGGACTGATAATTGCGTATTGACAAACTGAAGTCTTCTTTGAAGGATTGTTGAAATCACGTACTTGATTAATTTATAAATAATTATTTATTACTAATAATTTTATTCAAGTTTCATTCATATCCATTTTACATGTTTTAAGCTCACAAGCCCACAAATTGAGGTCACATTGTTATAATGTAACATTGTGTATTGAGACATCAAAATACATTTAAAAGGTATTTGTTTACATTATTTGAGTTTTATTTCATTTACCAAAACATAATTCATACAGATGAATTGCTAGGACTTTAATATACATAACAACTATTTCCATTTGATTTTTTGTGGTTTCTTGCCAATTGCAGCTACCTTTTTGTCCGTTCTTTTGAAAGCAGTAGCTCTTTGCAGAGACATAGAACGGGTACAGTACAACTACTGTAACTTGTAATTTCTGTGCATTCGGACTCCTTAGCGCACGGTTGATAAAAGTATATTTCATCTGTTTGACTGCTTTGTATGTTAATAAGAGGCATTTTCATAGTCACCTTCTAAAATCTAGAATCGTGAAAGATTTATCCCACAGCAAAATTTTAACTTTTACACCGTAAATGCAGAAGAATTTTCCTTTTCATAGAAAAAATTTAATATTTAAAAAAAAAACAATACTTCATAATCTTACCCTGTAGTATGTTTTCTTTCTGCAATGTTATCCCTTTTCAGTGCTATATTTCGACAAAACCCAGATAAGTATGGTGAATGAGCAAAGAATTTTAAAATATACTCACATTTAAGAAAAAAAGTTTAAATTTTCAACTACATTGTATCAAAGAAAGCACGTTTTATATTATTTGTAAAAAACCTATGGTAGAGGCCTTAAGTAGAAACATCGTACCATTTATTGATAAATTCTCCTCTAAAACATCCACTTTGGAAACTTAAGATTATAATTCTAAAGGACATTCAGCCTGACTTTATAATGTAATATAAGCAGGGCTATGTCATCGTTCTGAGATTCGAAAATAGTAATTTTTATTGCAAAAATGAGATTCTAATTTGTTCGAAAAACCATGTGAGCATAAAAAGTGCGTTGAGTTGTATCTTAACCACAACCCCCTTTTATAAAACTGAATAAAATTTGATGATATTTTCACAGAATCTTTATTACATAATGCCACTGTGCACTTCCTTTCGTACTATTTGATCCAACGCATATTTTTGACACTTCCAGTTTAATAATATGAGGGGCGGGGGTATTATGACCGAGTTACATTATGATGGAACTGTAATTTTGGTTTCTATATATATTTACATAACAAATAAGCTGATTCTTGTGCGAGGCGGTAGTCTAGTCAGAAATCGCCGGAGCTGCAGTAGTTTGAATTTAGATTTGGCCTGCTTATATTACAAAAGAAACTATCGGATTTGATAGTTCATTATGATAATAGCCAATGAAAATTCTTAGCCAAAAGCAAATTATAGAGAGTGTTCAACTCAATCCACCTGCGCACCAAACCTAGCTAGCTTAACGTTCATTCTCAATAACATCGTCAAATTACTTATTTAGAAACATGTAGTTTAAAGGCAAAATTTTAATAAATATATTTGATTTATATAAGTCCACCTACAATATCGTTTAGTGAGCTCATTGCTCACAGTACCTCCAGTTTGATTTTATGAGTTCGATCATTGTTTATTATTGTGTCTCTTTTCCATATATATATATTAAAGCTTGATCTAACATTCATCATCTGATTTTTAATTTAACCGATATTGCAAAAAATGTAAACTTTGAATAAAATTTTTATATTTTGGAACACTAAATAAGGGATATAGAGTCAAAAGTTTTGTTTTTTTTTAGATTCAATAAAAATATTGAATATAACATTTAAAAAAAAAGATATACTACATTTATGTAGAAATCCCATTTAATTTAGTCAATACTTTGATTCTGAAGTTTCCAAAAGACCAAAATGTTTGGATCACGCATATGGAAAATACGTACTGTTTCTTTATAGACTGTTTCAGAGTAATCGAATTCTATTGAATATTCTACTCTATCACGACACACATTTTATTTCTATATATTTAGAGATGATAACTTATCTTCTCATTTTTGAAACACTTTTGTCGGAATAAATAATATCTTCATTTTGGATTTTACTGTTCTTTGTATACATTCAATCAGCAGATCAAATTGATCTACCATAGGATTTTTCTCAAATTAGAAATAAATTTATCTCTTCTTATAAAATGTTTGGATTCGGCAAATGAAGAATATGTATAAAACACATTCTGCATCATCTGCACCTTGTCATAATATGACTCGATCACGTATCTACAAATAACCAAAATATCTAATAGTATTTATGATATCTAATGGACAAACACCACTAAATGTTTTCCCATAGACTTCCATACAAACTTGAGCCCCTGTCACTCATACATATATTGAATTTCGGGCAAATGGCCTTTTTGTCGTGAAAGTTCGAGATATTGGAAAACAAAACATGACAGAAAAAATATACCGTCACGCGGCACTTTTACTTTCAATTTCCATTTGTTTACAACAAGGTGCGTTTGACACCAAATGAAAATCTCTAACCAAAGGGCACCCCTCCTTTCAAATTTTTACCTGTAACTCCTACATATCTCAAAGAAACCCAAGTCTTGATATTACATTTTTATCAACTTTATTTCACTTGTCAAATACATATCAAGTCTTTTCTCTTATTGACCAATCACGCGCCAAGTAGCATTTTCTCCTCCGCACAACTTTGGGTGTCCAAAATGTCTGCGCCCATGTATTTGTTTATGTAGGGGTTTTTCCTATAGAGTAAAAGAAACATTTATAAAAAGTGGTCAATTTAGTAAATTTAGAACACATATCCATTGCTTATCTCACCTCTTGAATATTGGGACTGACAGTCTTAGCTTAAGTACACCATTGGCTGTTACATTTCACACCCCAGTCAATCAGACCCTCATCTGTAAAACAGAAAAAATGTCAATAAATTGAAGCATTTTTCTATTTTTCTTTCAAACTTTTAAAATAAAATGATTAATCTCGCATATGTTTTGCTTGTTTTTCTTATTATCTCTAATAATTTCTCAAGGTAGATCATGTTAATCATTCAGGGTAGCAGGTACCCGTTATTAATGAAAAATGAAGAAAATCAGCAGATTTTTGTAAGAAAAAGCTGGGTTATGGAAAGAGTGAAATCTAATGTAGATTAAATAATCAATGGAAAGAAAGAGAATTATATGTAGTTCAAATGTACATAAGATTAAAAAAAAATCTATCAGCAGTGGGTTGATGGCATCAGAGAATCAAATACATCCCCACTGAAAATTTTGTAATTTTGAAGGGGGGTGACCTACATTTTAGCCAATTTTCATGGACATTTCATGGAATTGATGTTAAATATGTATATTCTCATGAAAGGCAAAGATATTCATTTGCATATCATTTCTTATTAATGACATAATTAATAAATTGATTAAATGCCAAGGGCAGATCAATCATATTGTCTGATTGAATACAGTGCTCAATTGTAAGCAAAGTGCTTAAATAACTGCAGTTCTGAAGAAATTTATTTTCTAATAATCTATCAAAAGTTCTAAATAACTTAAATATTAAGAGATTAACTAGATTTTCTAGGAAAACCATACCTTGGAACTCTTAATGAAAGCAAAGGCACCATCCTGAGAGTGTCCATGTGTTGTTCATTGTAAGAGGGGAGGGTTCATTAATCTCCTCCTTCTTGAGAATGCATCGCTGAAATACATTTTATTTTATTAAAACATACTGATAAATGCTTGTAGTAGCTTATATTATATTTTTTTTATTATTTACACCATCTTTTGAATTTTTTATAAGCATTAGTGATGAAATAGCTTTAAAATATTCATGTCTAAATAGAATTTACTGAGATAATTATTTTTAAAAATATCTAAGAAATTGAAAAAAAATAACTGCAGATAAGCATGACTCTTGTTGTTCAAATAAACCACATTTTAAAAAAATTCCTTCATTTTCCAGCATCATTAGAGTACAAAATCCACCCCCCCCTCTTTTCTGCAGAATAACAAGATTGGATATGGCAAGGAGGAAGGATATTCAGACATTTTTTTCATCATTTTTGCAATAATAATTTTGCAAATTTCTTAGATTTTCAATGTATTTTCTGCTAAGATATATTTTACAGTAATCTCAATTAAATTTCCTACTAGTAATCTCTCAGTTTTCCCCAAACTATAATTTTTATATCAAGCCAGCACTGATTACATGACTGAAATTGGCTTTGTTGCTGGATTAGACCCCTTAAGTAAAAACAAAGTAACCTAAATTACTTAACAGCAGTCTAATTTTGTTATAAATTATTCAATCAACTCTAATTTACACAAATTTGAAAGAGGATTAGTCAATCTGTTCCAATGTCTGCACTCATAAAATAAATGGATTTAAATGAATTTCTCAAACTGCGGGGGGGATATTCATATGTTCTGTGTATTGATGATGCTCATAAACATCAATTTTGTATTTTTTACAATATTCACAGTAAATTTCAGCTGAAATATTTATTTAAAATTATTTACATGTACATTTATTGAAAATATGAGAGCTAAGGCAAAAATTTTAGCATTTTTTCACCATGTGCAGCCCCCATTGTGGGCCTCAATTTACCCAAACCCTCTAAATTTTTTAAGAAATAGTAAAAACTAATTAAAATATGATCTCAATGCCAAAAAAATAGGAACTGATTGATTTTTTGGCTGTAATCAATGTTTTTCCATGAAATACATACCTATTCTATAGGACAAACACCACTAAATGTTTTCCCATAGACTTCCATACAAACTTGAGCCCCTGTCACTCATACATATATTGAATTTCGGGCAAATGACCTTTTTGTCGTGAAAGTTCGAGATATTGGAAAACAAAACATGACAGAAAAAATATACCGTCACGCGGCACTTTTACTTTCAATTTCCATTTGTTTACAACAAGGTGCGTTTGACACCAAATGAAAATCTCTAACCAAAGGGCACCCCTCCTTTCAAATTTTTACCTGTAACTCCTACATATCTCAAAGAAACCCAAGTCTTGATATTACATTTTTATCAACTTTATTTCACTTGTCAAATACATATCAAGTCTTTTCTCTTATTGACCAATCACGCGCCAAGTAGCATTTTCTCCTCCGCACAACTTTGGGTGTCCAAAATGTCTGCGCCCATGTATTTGTTTAAATGTAGGGGTTTTTCCTATAGAAGTATCATAATAACAAAAAGGGAAATGTTTATGTAATTAAAGCGTCTATATATCAGCCCCTAGAAACGAAGAATAACTCATTCTTCTTTCTCAACTTGGAAAAATAGAAAAAAAGAGTTATTTCTCCTTTTGATATGTCAATAAATTGATGAAAGTGGCCGATAGATTTTTTTCTTTATTTTTTTATTCTTTATTCGTTTGTCTTTAACTGAACCAGTCATATTTTTTTATCGAGCATTTCGAGTTATTCTTCTTCACAACAATGGCAAAATAATCTCATTGTATCAAAAAAGTTATATCAATAAGTACTAAAATAATAATTGTGTAAACATTCGTTATTGAAAGAAAAAGTTGTGATATGTTATCATTAGACACCAATACTGAAAATACTGACGCGTACAGAAAATATCAAACTATTTCATTTTAACCTAATTTGTCTTAAGGTATGGACAAATCATACATGTAGGGTCTATGCACAAGTATGTATCACTTTATTCCTTAGTTTTCCTTCGAGTATTTGCAGTCTGTTCAGTGCCCAAAACATACTCTCGTCAACTAAAAAAAGAAAGAAATCTGTGACATTTATACTCATACACAACTTTTGATGTAAAGGTGTATATATTTTTCTATTTTTTCAGCTTTTATTTAAAAAAAAACTCCAAGTGCAAATTTGTATTCCTACAGTCGCTTCTCAGTGACGTCCTGAGATGTTATTTTTAAAATTACTTCTTGTCTTATCCACTTGAATTCAATCAAGGAAGCATATCATAATTTGGTTTTTAAAATGATGTGACTTATCAATATTCGAATATGAAATATGTTAAATTTACATTCCACTTGTATTTTGCTAAGAAAGTGTATGGAAATTTGTGCTTCACTTGGGTGTTTCAAATGTTCTACGCCGTACAAGCGAACATCAGTGGTGAAAATCAGTTCAAGCTCACACTAAACAGAAAATGACGCCTGATATGACTCCTCATAGAATTATCAATTACAAAAAAAAAAAAAAAAAAAAAAAAAAAAAAAACAGGAATTTTGAAATATAAATGACATTTGCCAAAAAGAATGCTATATTATTATGATGTATTACAATTTCATTAATGAAATTTACTTGACCAATTTCATTACTGAATTTTTTTTGACCAATTTTTCAGTTTTATATTTCAAATAATTTTAATTTTAACGTTTAAGATATGTCATGATACATTTATTTTTGTTAATTCAAACTATCTGTATTTATTATGGAAATATTTTTTACGGAAATGGTTGAAATATTGAAATATGTCATAAGGAAATGTTATATGTACATGACAAAAGTCTACCCATTTTTTGAATAGCTCTTGTAAAATCCTGTTAAAAATCAAGTTTATTTTATTGATAATAACTATATCATTATAGAAAAATATGTTTTAAAAGAATGTGATATGAAATATTTGATTATACTGTTTCTGTAACTCAGTACAACCCACTTATTAAAATTTTTGTTTAATCCGGATTATTGTCTTAATTAGCTACTATGTATACGGAAAAGAGATTATGTACTGTAAAAAAAACTGAATCCAGTTGTCCTGTCATAATGGAATGTCGAAGAGCATTTGATATTGAAAAAGTGCTTCCACTTGGATTGTTATTTTATAATAAAAATCACATAGGAAAGTATTTCATTCAAAGACAAAACTCTTCATCTTCTAAACATAATTTTAAATGTATTTTTCTTTTTCTGATGATTCAGACCACGTTTCATAGGCACAAAGTCAAATTATTTTAATTCTGAAATTTCTTTTGTCAACCTTGTAATTTGGAGTGTAGTTTTCCTCTTCACATTCCGGGATGTGTTCTTTAAAAATGTATAGTTTTGTGATAAATACGCAGTATTGGAAAATAAAGTACAGTAAAGGAAGTTTCTAGATAATAATTAGATAATAATTTTTCCAATAATTGTATAATTTTAAGCTAGCAAACCCACACTCTGATTCTTACAAGTTGTTCCTATTAGTTTAACCTAGATTTACCATGTCGTGTTTCCTTAAAGAAATTGCATTTCAAGTACAAACTAAAACAATTATATGTATATGTCATGGTTTAATAGTTTGGTCAGTGATACGTTGGACTTTTTATATTTTAGCAGCACAGAATTGCAATTAAATTGTTTGCACGTATTTTTGTTTTCCCCGAAATTTCGTTCAGACTATGATTCCAAGTCATCATCATAAGTTGAGACAAACTTTCATTGAGAAAAAATAAAATTCCTCCAGTCTAGCCTTACAATTTATTCAGACAAAAATATGGGAATAAAAGATATTATGAGTACAAAGCAACAAGTAAAATGGATGTAAATGACTACTTATATTATGCAAACCATTCAACATGACTATTATTTTGTTCGTGTTAGTATATATTTAGAATGCAAATTATTACAGGAAATTCATTACGCTAACATATTTCTAAGTATTTCTTCATTTAGACAGATTTATTAAGGCGTTTATAAATTAACAAAAGCTACGTAATTGTGGCTTAATATATACAGATGATCTCAAAGTAATCATTACCAAGGAATCTGCAACATTCAATAGTACTATTTGACCATAGCCATCACAGTAGCTCAGTTGGTAGAGCTCTAGTGTCGCGAGGCAAGTAGTTGATCCTTACGTTATGGGTTCTAATTCCACTGTGGGATGTGAAGACCGAACCTTCGGATGAGACCGTATAAACCGATGTCTCGTGTCCCAGTAGCTGCTATAACGATATATCCCTTCGATAAGAAGGCTTATAATTTACTGGCATGTTTCATATCCACTTTTAGGATATACTCGTACTGTTTATGAACGGATATGTTCTTTTACCCGATCAATACAGAGGAGTCATGGCGGCAGTGGGCGGTGGGAAGGGATGCTTAAGTGTACTAGGCACATGATCCAAAAGTCAGATGTTTCTTGGTGTCATTGCTTTCCTTTGCTCATTATTTGTTTTTATTACAGGATTAAAGATAGAGATCAAAATTTGTTATAAACACTTTATTACTAAATGTCATATAATCCAAACAAGTGATAAGAGTTGACATTGTAAACATACATAGCTATTTTTGAAACAGTTTCAACTATTTACTTCCTTGAGTTATTCAATATAAAATGCAAAGTATGAATGATACTTAACAGAGGAACATAAATGATACTTATATATTTATTATTGAGAGTTGCATAAGGAAAGACATGCTAGTCTTAAGTTCTCGAAGTTGTGTTTATATACAAACATGAAAGTTCTCATTATTACTCTGATTTTGTTTTCAAAAGGAGATTTTGCAAAATCACGATGTTCTGGGTGGGTCTTTTAAAAAAGTGAACTGAAAACAATCTTGTATTGTAATGTGCCACTTTTCTAAGATGCAATTATATATATTTTTCAGGAAGGATGGTCTGGTCTGTTGTTCGGGTACGGTATGGGACAACTCAAAACAAGAGTGTGTCGGTGGGTACTTATCAAATGATTAATATAATAGAGAATATCTTTGCAATAATTAATATAAAAGTTAAAAACTATTGTATGGCAAATCAGTTTTCACATTACATTGTACATGTTAGAGATTTTATGCTTGTTTATTTTGTAGAATGCAACCCAGGATATTACGGCTTAAATTGCACGAGCGTATGTCAGTACCCTACATATGGCAAAACCTGTAAGTTTCTGTGTTCCTGCAAGAAAGAGTTATGTGATATTGCCATAGGATGCCAAATAAGAAAAGGTATTTTTTATCCTTTCGTTTCTAGAATATTTTTAAAATATATCCTTCCTTATCATGAAACTTTTAGAGTAACATTTAAAGATTCAAGGAGACTGTAAGAATTATTTCCTTTGAGTTTTAAATTTAAACTCTCTATACGATAATCAATCTTATCAGACCCACTTGTGTTGTATTTAATTTCATCAGATAATTTTTTGCGGAAAAATGTTAAATCACCATGGTTAATACTAGTAGTATAGCATAAACAAAAAAATAATAAACACAGAAACATTTATGCGTAAAAATAATAAGATATGCCCAATGATTTAATTCGGCTTGATATTTTCTTTATTCATTAATAAATGTTACCTAGCACTTTAGTTTCTTTTAAAATAAGACTTGCCCCGTACCCTTTTAAAAGTATCACAAATTAGGAATAATGATAATTTACTGATGATATCCGATGAATTGTGATACTTTGCTATAATCTCTTTGTTCCGCATCATATTTTATGTTTTTGTAATATTACATTGCTTACCATATATATTCTTTGAAACTGAAATTTAAAAGGGTTCTTTAAAATCAAAATTATCTAAGTTAAACAAACATCTTTGTTTGGATTTTTTTTTTGATAAATGTGATTCTTCACCTTCATAAATTTGCCCTCGGTTTCTCTTCCAATTGACAAAAACATTAAAATTCAGCATTATAAATAAGTTTTATCAAATTTATTTCCTCTCTGTTATGCTGATCACTTTTATGAGTATATGGCAATTTCAAAAAATGTTTAATACTGGAACTAAATATGAAAAAACTTCACAAACAATCTACATTGTTTTGGATTACTTACAAATATAACTTATTTTTTATAGTTATAACAAGCTAAATATCTAGGTGGAAAATATCACATCTGAATTTTTGAATTCACAGAAGAGAATGCAGACAGACAAGATTCAAAATTGGAGGGAGAAATAGTCGTGTCAAGAGAATCAAGAAAAGAAACATCCAATCATGAACTTGAAGTATCTTCTCTTCCCGTAAATGGTGGAAAGACTTTCGAGTCACTATCAATTGACGACATTAAACGTATAATAAAAGAAAGTGATACACTGACATGGAGATTAGTATTTATAATTTTCGCCAGCAGTAGCACTTGTGTCACGTTTACCATCACATGCTTCGTTTACAAGAGTTGTAAACCAATGGAAAGATCCAAACGGGAACAAAGTAAAACGTCATCGGTTGGCTCGGGTGAATATACAGAGTGCGAATTGATGGAGTTGAACATCAAAACGGAGAATATTATTTTTGAAGGATTGGTTAATGCAAAGATAGGACACAATGCCACTAAAAACGTTTATGCAATTCAACTACATGGGGCTTGTCCAAATTCTGAAGTCGATCCGAGTGCACAAAAAAATGAAATCAAATTTGGAAGTTCTCCACAGTGTTGCAAGTGTCATTCCCTTTCTCATGAACATGGATATGTTGAACCAAAGATACATGATGAAACCAGTAATTTTCTAAGAAAATATTCTGACCCTGAAAACAGTGTTACAGATGTTCCGTTGTTGGCCGATGAGGATAGAAATCATTATCTCATTGTTACAAAGTAACGAATTCAATTGCTTACTATTTCTTTATTAAATACATTATTGTACAGGCAAATCATTAAAATTAAGATATTATATCATCAATATTCACTTTAACTGTGGTAATTATATGTCTTACAATATCAAAATTCTTACTAAACAAAATGCATGCCATTCTAAATAGTTTTTGTATATTTTTGGTGTGCCCTCGGGAAAAGTTGCCTGTCGCAGGTTTGATAAAAGAGTTATTCCACTCAGAACTACATGTAGTTGATAAGACGTACACTGTATCTGCATCGTTATATTGCGAAAAATCGTTTGATTTACGTGTGTGATCATGCAGGGATCATGTATGATTTGCTATTTAGTGTATGTGATCATCCATAGAGCACCGTAACTTTCTATACCACCCCCATTTGAATAGCGGGAGGGTATATGGTATTCAGGAGGTGTGTCTGTCCGTTTGTTACGCCTTGGGGTTCGTTGTCTAGTTTGTTGGGAATGCTAGGGACATAAACGATAGTTCAAAACGTGGGAGAATTTATGCATATATAAATTTTATTTTAATTTCAAAAGCGCCGAAAATGGGGAGGAGGGGAGCTAGGGGGATTAAGCCCCTCCCTCCCACTCTCCACTTTTTTGCAAAGGTGGACATGATATAAAAATTAAAGATTTGGACGTAGGTTTAGCCTCCCACTTTCCACAGGCACGTTGCAGTATAGTCAAATTAGGGTAATTGGTAATGTTTGGTACTGAAAAAATGTAGCATTCTACCCCCCCCCCCCCCCTCCCGCCCCCTCCATCTCCAAACAAAAAAGCACTACCACCACAAAATAGGATTTTTGGATTTGGAGAATGGACAATTTTTCCTTTTTTTTTTTTTTTTATAATTTTTTCTCTCTTTGAATTAGCCACCCTACCCACTTTCAATTTGCTCCCAACGCCAAGGAATTTGATGAATCAATTTGAGTATAAGGGCCTGTGTACGATGGCCGATATCAGCCTGTACATATTTCGACTGCTATTGAAATTTGTATTGACATGTACATTTTGCAATGACAGTGCACACTTCGTGTTCTTAACTTTTTTCTGTACATGTACATTTTGCAATGACAGTGCACACTTTCTGCTCTTAACTTTTGTCTGTACATGTACAAAATGACAAAAAAGGCAAATGTCAAAACGTGAACGGTTGAAACACATTTGCTTCTGATTACAATTCCTGGTCGGCGAAAAACGATTAAATATGAATTAAATTAGACAAGGCACTGAGAAGATTAATTTTGCGATAAAAAGGATGAGAAACATTAAAAGAAAATATAAACATTCTTAAGAACATTAAAACTTATGATAAAATTTGTCTCCTTTTACTGAAAAAAATTAAATTCCCACAGATTAAAATCACCTTCCACAAACATTTCTTGTACAATGAATTGCCCCCATCCAACCCAGAAAATGATGACTGTATAGTTTACACTCCTTTTTGATCAAAAGTAAAGGGAAGTTGCAAAGGACATTTTATAATTGAGTAAGAGTCTAACCATAATATAACGTAAGATTAATTTGTGACCTCAACTGTAACCTTTGACCATCATTTGAAAAACTATAACATTGCGTTTCATAAAGTGTTCAGTAATTAACCATATCACAATACTTTCTTGAAAAAACAAAAGGTCTTAAGTGTTTTCGACTTTGCTAACCTTAAAACATCTTACAGGTGTATACTACGTCTACGTCCCACCCCTGAATTGTGTTATCATTGCTGGCATATAGTGTTTTACAAAACAAATCTTGTTTTGATATTAATTGTTCAACTTTTCCCCGTTGTACACTTTTATTCATATCTAATGGTTTTTCGCCGACCAGGAATTGTAATTAAGAGCATATGTGTTTCAACCGCTCACGTTTTGACATTTGCCTTTTTGCCATTTTGTACATGTACAGACAAAAATTAAGAGCAGAAAGTGTGCACTGTCATTGCAAAATGTACATGTACAGAAAAAAGTTAAGAACACGAAGTGTGCACTGTCATTGCAAAATGTACATGTCAATGTACATTTTAGACGTACAAATTTCAATAGCAGTCGAAATATGTACAGGCTGATATCGGCCATCGTACCTGTGGCATGCGTGTCAATTTCTTGGCATATTATTTTGTCTGACGTCAGTAACTAGGATTTTTTTATTAGACTAGAATGATTGTTTGTTTTTTTTTTTCAATTCTACTAGACAGCATTTTTGACTTTTATTTACATTTATATTTTACAGAGAAATGTATATATAAGGAAACACTATTTAAGACATAATCGATCTTTGCAAACATGGGATAATTAATGCATAACGGGTTTCGCCGTTATGCAAATTATGCTGCGTTACCTGCTGTCGTTAATTTATGCCCTTGTATCCAAACAAATTAAACTATAATTTAAAAATAAAAATCATTTAAATGGAACTATATTTAATTTAAGTTTTAGCAAATATTTGAAATGCAATAATTAATTTATTAATGTTAACTATCTGGCATATTTAGCTATTTTTTCTATTTCTATTAGATTGTAAACATTGCTCTAATGAAAATAAAAAGGAAAATACTTAAAACATGTTTTTTAAGTTGATGCATAATTATATAGTCTGTGTGATTATATTCATGCTATAATCATCATTATCCCCCTTCTTTAGTTTTTTTTCTTTAATTATAGACGTTGCTGCTACCAATGTTGAATTTCTTCTCGTATGTATATATATTTCTCTTTACTCGTATGCTCTGGTGGGCCTAAAATTAGTATTAATAAAGCTTATCTTGCCTTATAACCATCTCTTTTGTTTTAATTTTGTGTGCAATCATACATATAAACCGTTTTCCCCTGAACAGTATATACATGCCAAGTTGGATTTTAACCTCTTCAACTAGAAGTAGCTAAAACCACAACTTTTAAATCGGACTTTATAAAACACAATCATAAACTTATTGTCGCCTGGAGGGTCTGATGATAAAACATATAAATAAATATTACCGGTATATTAAATTGTTTTGACTATCAGATGAAATCCTAACTTTGATATTTTTCATGTTTTCAACAACAAAAACAAACAAACAAAGCTTTAATAATTTGATTTATATATGCAAAACATTTATTGATGTTACGACAAATAGATAATCCCATCTCTGGGAATTGTCAAGTTAAAACAAATAAGTTTATTATTATTATTATTGGTGCTTTCATTTTCTTGTGTATGTTTACGACATTGATAAGAACGTTAGCTCCCTTTGAAGCATTTAACCAATCAATGACTAATATAAGAAAAACTCAAACGTTCCTTAAATAGCTTTGAATTATTGGTAAGTCATATTTTGTTTACGAATCTGAGTCGATTGTAAAACAAATCATTAATTTACATATCTTGTTTTAAATATATCCTTTTTAAGTGGCATAGATGTAAGTCAAGGTTAAAGAGGTCAAAATTGGAATGAGGAAATAGCGTTGTTTTACAAAACGAAAGTAAGTAATTTAACATCTCGGGAAAATATGACGTGTTATCATGCATAGAGCATGGCACTGAAAAGAATGCATAAGGCCTGTGTATGATACAAATTTATATATGTATAGAAATTGAAATGTTTCAAAATAACAGTAATAACTAGAAACGGATGCCGAGCGGATTAAAAAATGCGAGGGCTGTTCAATGTCTATAAAACAGGCATTGGTTGCTGTAAATGTCACATATTTCAGTGAATATTTCTTTGGGATTTTTAGCAAGTTTTACAGCAGCTTTAATGAAGCTTTTATTTTCACTCTAGTTTACTGATTTTTTACCATTCATTTATAATGCAGTGTTTCGAATAGCCCTTGTTCCCCAGCTTCTCACGATGAAACTATGTGTTGAAAATTGGTCACATAAACTGTTATAAATTCATTAAACATTCAATAATGAGAGAAAGTCAAGTTTAATGCCATATGATATCTGTAGTGTATGTCATACAGTTCAGGACATTATTTATTGAACAGCCCTCGTATAAAAGAAAGAGACTAATATATAGAGAAACAGGTGAAAGTGAGAGATAATGAGAGAGAGGGAGAATATTATGAATGTAACATAGGCTGCCCTGCTTGTGTGTCTTCACCACCTTATTAAATACATATAAAAAATGGTTTCTTTTTATCGAAACTAGGGTCATGGACGCATTTAAATCTAATTTTTTATGAAGCAATTTTAGTCGACTGGAAATATTTTATTTGTTGCTAACTTGAATTTAACAAAATATTTAAGTCTATAGGATTTTTAGATGCTAACTTCAGTTATTACCGTCATGTAAACGTATAGTTATTTGTCAAACGGATGTGCATTAGGTTGCATGTAGCTGTGTTTCCCTTGCTGGTGCTCTGCACAAACTAAACAAATTAAACCACAATTTCCGCTCTCTTCATCAAAACGTATTTTATCGAGTGCTTAATGTAAAAGCATATTGTTTTAAGAATGGAAGTTTTATGAATCCACTCTTAATTCGTCTTGATTTTGGGAATTCGAAGTGTACAACAATTCTATATAAAGTATCTTTTGTGAACAAGGAATCAATCAACCTATTGTCGAAAGAAGAAACATGTAAACAAACGACAGCTTCTCTTCTTATCTTGGTTAAAGGTGCATGGACACAGATTTGAAGTTAATATTTTCTTTATTTTATGTAATGAGAATACAAAAATAAAATATATATTCAAAATTTTATTTCATCTTAAAGTTATTGAAACATACATCAATGCACTCTCACTTTTACTTTTATTCTTAATACTTAAGAAATCGGCAATTTTGGTGTGTATTGATGAAAAATATTAGAACTTTAATCCAGAAAAATAATTATATTCGGAGTAGAAATGTTAGTAAGCAAAACATCTTCACAAGTATCGTCATTTCGCGTTAAGTGTTGTGTACAGAGTTTGGCAAATTGATCACACCCATGACATGTATACAGTTTTTGTAAAAAGGGCACGAGCTCTGTTATTTGATGCTGATGTTTACGATGCATGCGTTCAATTGTTAAAGTCTGCTCACCAAAACTGCACGGACTGACAACACACTGTGTGTATACTTCGTTCTCGAACATTTCTACTATGAATTTTCTGTAATCTAGTTTAATATTTTTTTCATTTATACACAACAAGATCGCCACTTTTCCAAAGTATTCAGAATAAAATCAAAATTTGTGAAAGTGAAAGGATTTGTCAATCAAACCCGTCTGAAATTTGAAGCTTTAATAACTATTAGAGGAAATAAAAATTTTGAAATGTTTTTGTGAAATGCTGTTGAAATATATAAGTCGTAATATTATACAGAAAATATTAATTTCAAATCTGTGTCCATTCACCTTTAAACTTAAATGAATATACCGTATATACTCGCCTATAAGTCGGTATTTTGGGAGTTAAATATTGGTCTAAAACTCTATGTCCGACTTATAGGCGAGTCATAAAGAGATTGGTATTTTTCTTGAGACTAAAAGGTAGTATCTTATTTGCATTTCCGACCATTATCAAAGGAAATGTCATGATATGTAAGACAATTTATGTATTCTAAGATTATATATAATTAAAAGTACACGTATTTACATATTTTAATAAATTTTATTTTGTATTTTAAGAGAGCATTGCCTTTTTGTTTAATAATTTTTATTAAATATCAGTGTCATGTCGAAAAAATATTGAAACCAGGTTAAAACATCAATGAATTTACTTCATATTGTCACTAAATTTTAGCAAAAAATTGTACCGACTTATAAGCGGGTCAAAAGTAAATCCCACCAAAATAACGTAAAAAAATACAACCGACTTATAGGCGGACCGACTTATAGGCGAGTATATACGGTACATGCATTATGTGTGATCTAATAGAAGATGTAAATGTAAATTGTTCACATATTTTAACAGCAAATGCTTGGTTCAAAATGTAATTTTTTTTTTTTTACATATTTCAACATATTTCAACAGCAAATGCTTGGATACAAAACTCTTTAATATGGTTATTCTACTACTAGCATTTTATAAGCGAGTCTTACCAGTAAATTGGTACCAAGTAGATTAGGTGTATTGTAACATGTTTTTATGAATAAAAAAAGGAAGAAATAATTTCTGATGAAAAGGTTTGTTTCAAACAGAACTGATCTAACAAATCTAAGAATGATATCAAAACATTAATTATTTTGTTTTTAGCTCACCTGAGCCGAAGGCTCAAGTGAGCTTTTCTGATCACATTTTGTCCGTCGTCCGTCCGTCCGTCCGTCCGTCTGTCTGTCCGTCTGTCTGTCTGTCAATCTGTCTGTCTGTCTGTAAACTTTTCACATTTTCGACTTCTTCTCAAGAACCACTGGGCCAATTTTGACCAAACTTGGTACAAAGCATCCTTGGGTGAAGGGGAATATAAATTTTTAAAATGAAGGGACATATACCCTCGCAAGGGGAGATAATCAAGGAAAGACAAAAATAGGGTTGGGTCATTAAAAAATCTTCTTCTCAAGAACCACTGGGCCAGTAAAGCTGAAACTTATGTGGAAGCATTCTGGGGTAGTGTAGATTCTAAATTGTTCAAATCATGACCCCCGGGGGAAGGGCGGGGCCACAATGGGGAATCAAAGTTTTACATAGAAATATATAGGAAAAATCTTTGAAAATCTTCTTCTCAAGAACCACTTGGCCAGTAAAGCTGAAACTTATGTGGAAGCATCCTGGGGTAGTGTAGATTCTAAATTGTTCAAATCATGACCCCCGGGGGAAGAGCGGGGCCACAATGGGGAACCAAAGTTTTACATAGAAATATATAGGAAAAATCTTTGAAAATCTTCTTCTCAAGAACCACTGGGCCAGAAAAGCTGAAACTTATGTGGAAGCATCCTGGTATAGTGTAGATTCTAAATTGTTCACATCATGACCCCCGGGGGAAGGGCGGGGCCACAACGGGGAATCAAAGTTTTACATAGAAATATATAGGAAAAATCTTTGAAAATCTTCTTCTCAAGAACCACTGGGCCAGAAAAGCTGAAACTTATGTGGAAGCATTCTGGTATAATGTAGATTCTAAATTGTTCAAATAATGACCCCCGGGGGAAAGGCGGGGCCACAATGGGGAATCAAAGTTTTATATAGAAATATATAGGAAAAATCTTTGAAAATTTTCTTCTCAAGAACCACTGGGCCAGAAAAGCTGAAACTGATGTGGAAGCATCCTGGTATAGTGTAGATTCTAAATTGTTCACATCATGACCCCCAGGGGAAGGGCGGGGCCATTATAGGGAATCAAAGTTTTACATAGAAATATATAGGAAAAATCTTTGAAAATCTTCTTCTCAGGAACCACTTGGCCAAAAAAGCTGAAACATATGTGCCCATGGAAGGATCATGGGGTAGTGTAGATTTCAAAATGTCTAAATTATGATCAGTGGGGTAGGGTGGGGATGCATTATGTATAACAAGGGGGGAAATCTGGTAAAGAACAGAATGGTCAAAGCTTCTCAGGTGAGCGATGTGGCCCATGGGCCTCTTGTTATAATTAAAACAAAAGCGGTTTAAAGTGAATAAACATGATTTCCATTTAATCAACAGTGAAAGACACTATCAAGATCTAGAGAAATGAGTTTGTCAGTTTGGCTCCTGGTCTTCATTCTGGTTGTGAAGATAAAACATGTAACTATGAAAATATATTTCTTAAATCATATACTTATTTCATTTATCATTTTTACCAAGATATACCAATCTGACTTATATTTAATTTGATTGACACGTTCTTTATTTTTAATGGTTAAGTTCATTCTAACCCCTTATCTAGTTTAGTTTATCAATTCTTTATGAATTTAATTTTGGTAAGAAGTGTAAAAAAATCAATTGTTCCATACACTTCTTTCAAGTAACATTCAAGTTGATGCTGCTATATTATTCCTTTTCACTCCTTTAGAAGACTTTTTTGCAATCATTATAGATAAACATCAAAATCCGCATTTCCTTCAATATGATGTTGTCATCTATGTGAAGCAAAGGAAGACATCCCATTCCATTTGAAATATCATCGTTTTTTTCTCCAATTGTTTAGGTTTATGTTTTGACACGTTGTCCAGAATCCTTGTCAACGGTAGTAAGAGTAGCACGCTGTCCTAGAAATAAAGCTGAATGGGAAAATCAAGCAAAGAAAAAAGATTGTTCAAAGGTTTCCCAGTCTTGTGTCAAACCAGCAGAGTTTTTATACCACTGTTTGATTAACGAGTACATGAATATGACGATTGAAGTCTGTGCACCTTCAGTTCCCATATTAGGTAATACAAACGGTCTAATATTAAAAATGCATTTCAGCAGTACATTACATGCATTGTATATAGCAATTTATAGATTGTCTGATGAGTATAGTACCAAATTAAATACAAAATTAATTTCCTTGATTATTTTATTTTCATTATTTGAAAAATGAATTGTTGTTTAATACAAATATAAAAATCTTTAAATTGAAGGTCAAAAGTGTGCAGAATTCAATACGGTTGGAGCAATTATTCAGGATAACGTACATACCAAATGCGATGACTCAGATCCACCCTGCCCATTCAGATACAACTCCACTGACGTGTACAAATGTAAGAAATATGATTAAAAGGAATGAAAAAGCTAAAAAGTATAAACTAAAATGTTTTCATACTCATACACATACATTATTTTTTCCTTTTTAGCTCACCTGAGCCAAAGGCTCAAGTGAGCTTTTCTGATCACAATTTGTCCGTTGTCTGTCGTTGTCGTTGTTGTAAACTTTTCACATTTTCGACTTCTTCTCAAGAACCGCTGGGCCAGTTTCAACCAAGCTTGCCACAAAGCATCCTTGGGTGAAGGGGATTCAAGTTTGTTCAAATAATCGGGAATTAATGAAAATTTTGTGGTATCTTTAAAAATCTTCTGCTCAAGAACCACTGTGCCAGGAAAGATGAAACTTATGGGTAAACATCCTCAGGTAGTGTAGATTCAAGTTTCTTCAAATCATGACCCCCTGGGGTAGGGCGGGGACACAATGGCCGATCAAAGTTTTACATTGTAATATGTAGGAAAAGTTTTTAAAAATCTTCTTCTCAAGAATAACAAAGCCATAATTGATCATATTTATTTGAAAGCATCCTCAGGTAGTGTAGATTCAAGTTTGTGCAAATTATGACCCCCAGGGGTAGGGCGTTGCCACAATGGCTGACCAAAGTTTTACCTAGAAATATATAGGAAAATTCTTTAAAAATCTTCTCAAGAATAACAAGCTATATTTGATCATATTTATATGGACTCATCCTCAGGTAGTGTAGATTCAAATTTGTTCAAATCATGACCCCCAGGGGTAGGGTGTTGCCACAATGGCCGACCAAAGTTTTACCTAGAAATATATAGGAAAATTCTTTAAAAATCTTCTTCTCAAGAATAATAAAGCCATAATTGTTCATATTTATTTGGAAGCATCCTCAGGTAGTGCAGATTCAAGTTTGTTCAAATCATGACCCCCAGGGGCAGGGCGGGGCCAAAATGGCTGACCAAAGTTTTACATGGAAATATATAGGAAAAGTCTTTAAAAATCTTCTGAAGAATAACAAAGACATAATTGATCATATTTATATTGAAGCATCCTCAGGTAGTGCAGATCAAGTTTGTTCAAATCAAGACCCCCAGGGGTAGGGCGAGGCTACAATGGCCAATCAAAGTTTTACATAGACATATATAGGAAAATTCTTTAAAAATCATCTTATCAAGAATAGCAATGCCATGATTGGTCGCGGCTACTTTTGGATATAATCTATTCAATTATAAACCAATTTCTACCTTTCCCCAGCCACAGTGCTCGGGTGAGCGATGCGGCCCATGGGCCTCTTGTTTTATTACTATCAGAAAAGTTTTCTCATTATAAACAACAAGGCTGTTAAAGTGAAGAGTGGAGTGCTTGAATAAGTATAACGTGGATGTCCATTAAATCTATCCGTATTGTAGTTTACTATCATAAATTGTAACAGATATAGAAGATCAAATTGATTGTAAAATGTAAAAGATTAAGCAAATTACATGAAATATCATTTCTTCGTCCAATCAAATATATCTTAATAAAACCAGACTTATTCTTATATGAATATGTGCATGTTTAGAAATGATGGTCATTAAAACATTTTTGCAGTGGGAATTATAAATTTCCAAATCCTTTCGCACTGATTCTCAGCATCGATATTTTATACAGAATTGTTTGCAATTATCTTAACGGAAAGTAAAGCATAAAGGCATCACCAGTACTTAACATGATTATAATATAATAATAAAAACCATATAGTATAAATAGCATAAATTTTCGTGCAATAAAGCTATTTTTTTATTTTGTTTAACAAAGGTTTAAAGTTACATGTATTATCTGAATGTTAATGAATTAGACATACAATTTGATAGCTAGTTTTTCCTCATTTCTTCACGTATTATACCATTTATTTCAGTATTTGATAGTGAATGTAAATTGCAACATTAAAAGCAATGCCGTTCGAGCAAACATACAAATTTGTAATGCAAACAAAATTCATAAATCTTATTTCTTTTGAATTATATGATCACTGTATGATACACTTATATATACTAATTATTTTTTTTTAAGTCTTTCTTGACTTTACACGTGTATTTAATTAGCAACAAATCTTTATTTTAATAATTTGTACAATAACATATAATACATGTACTGTATTTTTTAATATTTTTTTTGATTTGCAAGGACGAAGGTAGCCCAATATCAACGTATTTTGTAATCAAATTAACACCTCAATCTTCGCTTTCAATTAGTTTGTAACAACTAAAATTGCAAGTATGCATAAGGACAAAGTTAACTCTTATTTTGCAATGCAATTCTGTACAAATTAGAAGTTAAAATGTGTTTTCATGATGATGAAAATGACATTCTGTACCAATTATTCTAAATTGAAATTTCAGACCAACGGTGTTATAGCTACATCAATAGCACAAGCAACACACACGTCTTACCAAATTGTCCTGATTACATAAGGTAAACTTACTTGAAAACTATAATTCTTACAAATCTAAAATGCAGTGTCTCAAACTGTACATTGTATTGAAATTTAACAATTTTTTTTTGTTTTTTGAAGGGAAAAATGCATATGTTCCTCTGACCAAAACGTATGGCTGGCCATTTCAATAGTATTTATCACTTTATTTCTGATAAGCTGTGGTTTAGCAGGGATAATGCTTTATAAGTATAGAAATCTACTTCACAGCACTCCCGGTCAAGAATACGAAGGTAACCCAAATTCAAATAAAATTATCTTTTATTTAACCTATATTTATTTCGAATATATTAGAAGGAATAATACATATAGAAGGGCGGATAAAATTTATTTTTGTAATTTAATAAAAATATAGGGTAAAGAACAATTTTCGAGGTCATGATTTAATCCTTCTGATACATTGTGTGTAATCAAATGATATTTTTCTAGTAAAATACTTTTTTTTACTTTGAAGTGCTTATTGTGCTATTGTTTGTAAATATTATAGAGAATTACATTATCAACTTTTTTTTCAAAACATGCATTCACATGTTTTGAAAAGTATTATTTTTATCATCATCATTTGTAAATTGATGTATCACTTATCTTTGTTTTTATGAAATTACATGAAGTAAAGAAATAAAAAAAGTATACAAGTCCATGTAGATATAAAAACGCTAACATATCTCCTTTTTCTTTTGTCAGTTCATCCACTATTTTCAAAAGGGGAAGATGGTAATTATATTATTAATCAAATCATATTGAAGCATGCCTTTGTAACATTATGTATATATGTATAAGCTAAACATATTACATGATCATTCTTATTTTCAGCAGAAGAAATTCATGCGTATTGAAATTAAGGTAGAGCTTCTAAAATCTTTAATAAAACACTTTCAATATTAACGACAAATCTATTCAATGGGTCATTTCAAAATAGGACTAAGGCTTCTTACATGGCACAAGAATCTGTATAGTGCTTACCAATAACATAATTGTCTTTTTATTGCCCATCATCTGTGAGATGATACGCCTGTATATTTTGCACAATTGCCTTTTAAACTTAAGTTGTAATAACAACATTTATATAGACGCCGCTGCTTGGAATATCTATAAATACATGTGCAATAAATTTCAATTGTAATAGACAAAAATTAGCTGAAATGTATGAAAATTTTACTACAGTTTATTTTTATCTAACTTTATTATTTCAAATTACGAGGGACTCATATGTAGGAAGCATAATATAATACAGGTTTTTGTATTTTTTTTTTATTTATCTATATCCTTAAAGGCGACAAACAACTGAATCAGGAAAATGCTCAGGGTAATTTTTTACTACATATTTATCTTCTTTTAATTTTTAAAATCATTAAAAAATAATACATCCCGTCCGTTTTGGCCGATATCTACCTACAGAAATTGATAAAGGTACATTAATATTTTCCTCCAAATAAACATTACTTTAAAAATTAAAATTCTATTTGTTTAGTCAAGTGTTGAAAATGTGATGAAAGTATATATAAGGGGTGTTAAGAAAGTTCGTTCCATGATGAAATATTTTCAAAAATTTCCAAATAGTGCCTAACTAAAGAGATTAATTTTCAAGTCTGACAAAATCACAAGAGTTTGCTTTAAATTTAAAGGAATTCATTTCTAGCAGAAAACTATAGAATTGTTCATCCATACGAAAAAATATATAACATCTTTAAATCACCCGAATGATAGAAATGCTGGTCATTTTGAGTAAAAATAAAGGCTAATTTACTTTTGTTTCTTCATAGCTTATCTTGCATCAGACAAGCTGATGAAGGATGGAATAACAATGATAGATAACTTTTCAACAGAATAGGTTTGTCATTTTAAATTTTCCACAGAATTGATAATTTTTGCATAGTATTTGAAAGGATGTCCTGACTTGTGTGCTTAATAAATGTCACAAATTTACGCCATCTCTGATTTTTTCTGAACAGACATCATCTGTTTTAATACTTGTCCTTCCCTTATTGATTTAACAAAAGACAGTTAAAACCTTATCATTAGCAAGAATGGACTCTTTAAACATGAAATATCACAAATTGTAAATATCTTCTCTTCGTATTTCTTTTCGAAAATAAAAGAAAACATGTGGAACGAACTTCCTTAACTACGGAAGCCGGTAGGTGCCAGGTAGAAAAATATTTTATCTGACGGCCGTCAAATGAATTATTTTTTTTTTACCTGGCACCAAATCGCCTTCCGTACCTTAGTTAGCAAGGGGAGAAGTTGCATGTGATTTTTTTTTTACCAGAAATACAGGATGCAGGAATACAAAGAACAAATTAAATAAATAGATGAAAAATTTCTACAAGAAATCTTTTTTTTTTTTCTTTAAACAGATACCAATGTTGCTCCACTTAATCCAGAAGAGAAAGGTATTTTTATTGCAACACTACTCAACTTAAATCCTGATTCTGCACAGTCTGTGTATTACTGGTTATACGCATTACGAGGTCATTCTAGTTTCCAGCTATTTTGATTTCATAAGTTTTGAAATAAAAAACGGATTGTGAAAAATATTTTATGGGGTTCTTAAATAAAACACTTTCCATTTTCTGATGAAAATTTTTTAGTTTCTTACCAAACAAAGGACTTAGGGGGTTCTAACGTGAAACACGAATGGAAAGGGAGTTTGAAAGTAAATATTATTTAATTAGCAAAATAACTGAAAAATCACTCTGTTACACAGAAGTACTCTGCAGCTAACATCAACAAAGTGCTGGGATTCCAATTGGCACTAATTATGCTCTTTTATACGCTGACCTGTTTTACAATCATTTGATGCAGAATTAGTTTATAAATTTTTACACGAGAAGAGGAAAACACTAGCCCCGGCCTTCAATTCGACATTTACATTGTAAATGTACAGTAATTTTGAGTATTCCAAATCACCTTTTACATTTTGACTGCAAACAAATTTATTAAAAGTTTATATAAATGGTTGTTTCGTACAGCGATCAAAGCATGAATTATATTTACATCACCTTTTCAGTGTATTGCATGTCACTTCCGGGTATTTTGAATGACCGAGTAAATTTATTAAAATGGAAAGTTAACTTTATTATAATTAATAAAACTTTTGGTATTATTTACCAAAAGGCCACACAAATAAAACGAATTCTAAATGTCCTTGTTAATTGTTCTTGTAAATGTTAAAGTTATTTAGCCCCCCCCCCCCCCCCCCCCGGTGTAGTTGCACTATTTAACAGTGTTCTCGAATGCAGATTTTACAGAGAAGAAATTTTATACCAACAAAAATGATAATAATGGATTCAAAAGTCGTTCTTGGATGTATTCCTGACTACAAATGATAAAGACTGTAATATCTAAATTGTATGGCAAACAAGATGTTTTCATTTTTTCCATCTTCACCTTCTCTTATTGATATAGTAATATTCCAGTATCACATGCTTCTGGTGTTTATATCTCTTTATTCGCTAAACAAGAGCTTGCTCTGAATGTAATCAATTTTTAAAGCAACTCAAAAGTTGATGGTACGAGGAATTCAAGAAACTTGTTTAAAGTCGGCATTTTGAAACTTTTGGGCTTTGTAAATGAAATTTTTAACAAATTTATTTAAAAATTGGATCGTACATGGATTGCCTTGTTTTAATGGTTTTTCCCCTTTGTTTTAATACTTAATTGTCTACCTAATCTCGAAACAAAGGGCTTAGGACAGGAGTGACCCGCATGCAGGGTTTTTTTTTTTTTTACTTCTCCTTAATTAGCACCTATTCCCACCGCAGAAATTACCAGGGTTTTAGTTTTATGTCTTTGTCAAATATATTTATGGGGTTTATAGGTTTTTTTGAAGTCCATCACTCTTCGTTATCTTAACATTTTACTAGATTAAAACAAATTTACATATCGACATTAATAAAATGCATAACACGTGTGATATATTTGTTCATTTCCTTTTGGAACTATTGTTCATAGTCCTTGTTATCAGAATAATAAAATACTACAATCAATTCAACTGTAATAGACAAATATAAATTTTCTTTTATGAAACTCCTCTATGTCAAACACCAAGGAACACAGATGCAAAACCGTAATTGTAACATATGTACTTTTATTTTTGAAGGCACTTTTAAGACGGATCAAAAAGCTGTTCCAGGTAGGCCTTAAATGTCCCTTTTGTTTGTTGATATATTTATTTTCTACGTAATCGAAAAAATGCATCAAGAAATTAATTTGATATTTTTTTCTTGAATTCATGATGAGACTAGCATGTAGCTGTGCGACATCTGATAGAGATTTAAACCCCTACTGATATTTTCTCACTGTCTTTTAGTTTATAAAAGGGAGTAAACTATTTTTAAGAACTTTTTTCAGAAGAGGAAAATTAGGGGCGGGGGGGGGGGGATAACTACACTTTAAATCTTATTTCACTGTTAAAAGGCCCCTGCGGTGTTTTCACTGCCCTTCGTTGCGCCGTAACGTCATCAACCGTCGCCATTTTACGTCTGATGTTTTAACCATTTTTCAATTTTGAATACTTTTATTCAGGAAACTGCCAGAAATTAAGCAAATGCCTTAAAATTTTCCAAGAGACTACACAATAGATAGTGGATTAAAAATAAGATACTTTTTATCCCAATCTTATTTTACATTTTTATTTTTTTTTTAATTCTGGTTGTAACACTGTATTTGATTAGATAAAAATTTACTTTATATCGTATTAAATGGGTTGCCTACGTCACAATGACTTGTGTTAAATATGAATTAATTTCAAATTATGTAAAAGTCATTAAAAAAAAAAAAACCAATCATCGTTTTTTCTTACACCAAATGAATGAAAAATTAAATTGTAAGGAACGAATTGAATAACTACTCATTTTATAGGGTATAAATTGGTTTAAAACAGCATTGCAAGTATATTTAACTGGTTGACACTTTAGATCATTTTGTCATTGCAGAAAACTCAAGGGTGTACTCGATTTATTTTGGTGACAAACATTTTGGAATGGCTTATTTCGATCCAAGATATCCTAAAGATGTAAAAAGCCTAGGAAACCATGAAATCATTGGAGCTCTTGTTACAAATACTGGGGAAGTAATAGAGTTTGGAGATCAAGCTCGTAAAATGTTTACTGAAAATAGAGAAGATTGCAGAGATTATATTTTTCTTGATCATCACGAACTGGATAAAGAATACTGGAATGATAATGTAATTATACAGTTGCGCATAGTCCTGTGTCTCGAGACAAGCCCGTGTCTGTAGGACAATCAAAATTTTTTGAGGGTTTTTTTTGTTGTTGTTGTTGATTTTGCCAACTTTTTAATTTAAATACTTCTTAATTTCTAACAATTTTATTATCACAGATTTCTAAACTGGGTTCGATGAAAGTGAAGGAAGTTTTTCAGAATATAATTGGCTTCCTAGTGAAGAAGATTCTCAAGGATATTGCTGACCATGGTTCTCAGACACAAGAAGAGTCGGGGTTATTTAACATGCACTGTGTGATCACTGTACCTCATCACTGGATAAGCCACGTCGTAGATCTTAGAATTGCTTTTGACAGAACAATGGTAATAATTATTCATGTAATTTTTACATGTACATATAATATTGGAATGATTTTAATTGTACACAATAGTACGAAAAAAAGAAGCCTTAAAAATTTGAGAATATTAAAAATACGAAAGCTGACATGTAAAAAATATTTTATTGATATTTAAACTTTCAGACCTTGGAGCAAACATTAAAGCATTGTAAGTTTAAAAAATTTATTAACGTAAAGAGTTTTAAAAACATACTCCTAATAATACAATTCACACATGGTCTAGGCCAAAACGTAGTAGAAACTTTCTATACCACTTGACCACTTGGTATTTTTTTTGTTTTTTTGCAAACAAGTGTATTTATCATTGGCGTTGCAACAGGGGGCTATTGGAGGCTTAGACCCCCCCCACTTTTTTTTTTTACAAAAATAGACAATATATAGGCATAGAAAATTAGAATTTACCTTTTTTTGTTGGTTAAGCCTCTCACTTTTGACTAGCCTCTCCCTTTTCAATCTGCTTCTGACGCCCATGTTTATACATGTAGGAAAGTTGCGTTTGTCAGTATTTTTCTCATTACATAACAACTCTTCGTACAATCTTATTAATGCTTATGATCAAATAAAGGTGTATAGCGTAACACAACACAGGTTTCAATACTAAAAACTGTCTTTAAACACAAATGTAATGATTTTGACATATTTTCCTGCAAATATGTATGACCTTTAAACAAGTGCATTCATTGTAAATTCATGATGATTTTAAAATATTTCTTGATACATTTCAAAGTTTAAATACCTTACAAACGAATCAAATTTATTGCTTAAACATGTTTAACAAATTTGGATAAAATATATGTACCATTTACTAGTATGAAATTTAGTAATCTAACTTTTCAAATAGCTCTCATGCATATTGTATAGATATGTAAATCATTCTGGCATTTATTTTTGTTACCAATAGAAAGATCTGAATAAAGACGTACAGAGAGACCAGTTGCACATTAAATCGAGAGAGGTGGCCATTTCTCCATATATTCATGATGTTAAAGCGCCTGTCACTTGTTTGATTTTCAAAGTTGACAACTTGATATTCAAGGACAACACAACATATGTCAATTTACATGTGGGATCGAGTAAGTATTTAGCAAGAGCCCATTAATCAGCAATGCAACATATGGTTTTTCCTAATAGAAGTAGATGCACTTAAATGGATTACTCTCAGTATTATTTTTTTATTTGAAAGTTGGAAGGTTCTATTCAGGACCTCTTCATCACCAATTAAAAACATGATTTTTCCAGATTATGTCTTTAAAAATCACATAATAAAAATATACTCAGCTCTAAATTATTTCGAAATGGTCTCTGTCAATACTTTAATGAGGGCGTTTGAAAATTCGAAAACTTTACTTCAATAAGAAATAAAATCGCGCAAAAACCACATGAACGTATGTTTAGATATATCAGAAAAGACTACTTTTTAGACTGTATTAAGCAGTCGTTCAGATTGTATATTTTTATATGTATGCCTCTGTGCTTATAAGAAAAAACTAAATGCTTTCATAAATCAGTTACATCCACACTATGTTTGCTTCTAAAGACACATTTCTTCAAATTTCGATGACAAGAAAACGTCACAAATATTGTATAATTACACAGGACATGTATCATCAGGTGAAACTATGGCCTATGGGCCTCTTATCTTATACTAAATTGATTAACCTTTTGCTTGTATAGAGGGGTTATATTGGTTATGCCTGCTGCCCAATCCATTAAAGTTTTTATTACATAATAAAATATGTTCAACTAAAAATAAACATTATAACTAGTCTGAAATTGAAGAACTTAACTAATGATGAACATTATGGGTTTTTTTTTTCATAAAAAGAGGGAGGATAAAAACCTTGGCACAAAATTAAAAAATTATATTATTGAAGTGCATATTAAGTTTTTGATAAACCAAAAAAAAATGAGACCAACTTTCAGAGGTGATAAAATAATACAACCTTTTATCAATATATTGGTGGAGAAAGCCCCTTTTAGAATTTGAACCTGATCAATCTTTTTTTCAAAACCATCTCCGTCCCAAAGATTTTGCCTGGTTTTTTTTTTTTTTTTTTTTTTTTTTGAAATCAATGTTATGTTAATACATCTTTTGCAATTTTGATAAATAATATAAGAAATGTGTACCCCGGGGTAAATGAGGCATGTTTCAACTGTGTGAAAATCTCTAGACCTGCACCTCACATTGACCTTAAACTGTACGTCACCATCCGGGTACTAGTTTTACAAGTATCATCTCATGTTTGCATTGTGCACATCATTGCTGTAAATCACCAGTGGCGGATTTAAAGGGGGGGTACCCGGCGCCACCCCCCCCTCCCCCTCTAAAATTGTCAAAGTTAACGTAAATTGCAGTTTCGTCTAGAAAATGTAAATATGTCTACTTGGTAGACCTTATTTTTACCCTTAAAAATCTCTAGAACCCAGGACCTTCCGGGGGCTTCACCCTTGGGCCCCCACCAGGGCTTTGCCCTTCACCCACTTGGGGCCTCAAGGCGGCACCAGACCCATTGCCTACTTTTGACGCCCCCTCTAACTTCAATTCCTGAATCCGCGCCTGATAACGTTTTATTCGTTAGAACTTTATTTTTGCGAAATTATGCGAGACAGTGAGCACGCAAAAATTTCATTCTCGTGTAGAATAATTTTCCTTTAGAAATAAAGAGAAATATTAACAATTCATGAAAATTATGTCTCCCCTATAAAGAGTCAATGACTATCTTGCGAAAATAAAGTGTCGCAAATATTTAGTGTGCTGCAGTATATTAATAGGATAAAACTCATTGTATGTTGTAACTTGATTATATCAAATGATGTTAACAGTACTTATAACAGGCAGTAAGACGTCGAAGAGAGTAAAAATTCTGAAATGGAAATGGATAGGTTATAGTTTTAAAAAAGGTCAAAGATCATCGGATGTCACATAGAGTTATACATTGAATCTAGTTTCGAGCTATGGATATGGAAACAATGAAATTGTTTGAAATAAAATGGAAAATCTAAAAGCAACAGACTTAACCAAAGGGCTACTATAAAATAAGGATATACGTTAGAAATTGTGCATTTGACAAAAGTGACATTAAACTTTATTAAACAAATTAAGGCGAGGCTAAGTTTCTATCAGTATATCCTCTTTGCACAAATGTTAAATCCATCGCCAAAAAAATGCAGAACTGTTTACTTTTACGATTTCGCCGTATTTTGTAAGGATTTTTAATCCAAAATAAGTCTCACGTTTTGCTACTATGAAAATACAGAAATCGGAAATACATTCATTTGGAATTAAGCAAGTCGTTTTTAATGATCTAAAATAATGCCAACTCGGCGTAAAGCAACAATTTATCAATAGATATGATATGGTCCCCGCGTGGCGCAGTGGTTAGAGCCTCTGCTCTAAGAGTCGCGCAGTAATGACTTGATCCTTACGTCGAGGGTTCGAATCACACTGTGCAACGTGGAGACCGTATTAACCGAGGTCCCGTGTCGCATTAGGTGCTTACACGAAAAAGACCTCTCCCTGCTCGATAGCTTGAGTGCTGAGTATGGGACAATTTGAAGCTCTCCACCAGTAAGTGATGGCGTCTCCATGAGAAAAAAAATCTTGAGAGATGTTAAACAATATTCAATCCAACATACATCTTTATGATCTGGCTAAGTTTCACGCCTTTTCATCGCTATAAAAAGATTTCAAGCACATCTTAAGGATACCCTTAATCATCTTTCAAAAGATAATACGTAATGTGGCGAGTACATGTACCTCGTAGTTACCCAACTTACTTAACCGCTCAAATTTTGCAAGATTTCTGGGGCAAATGACATTGTTTACAGAAGTGAAAATCGAATGATTCGAACAATTTTATGCAGAATGTATATGTTCATGTATGTCATTTTTCTTACCCCGTTAAAAATGAAAATTGAATCCTTATTGCACATAAACAGCTAGGATGCCAGCAATCATCTTCTGCTTAAAATAAAAGAGGAGTTAAGGAATTTTAAGGAAAGAATGTGTGACAGAAGGACGGACCAGCGTAATAAACATGTGCGGATATAATCAAGAAAATGGCCATATAATGGTTTCAACCTGAAAGGAAGTTATTTTACCCCACCTCTGTTGATTTTTCCGTGAAATCCTGGCTTACGATTGGTTGAAGTCTGTCACGTGAAGGCGGTGGATTACTTATACCCGGTCAGTTGTAAATCCATACCCGGTCAGTAGAAATCTGTACCCGGTCGATGTATAACGTCACAAACACAAACGTGACGTCATAATAGGCACAGTATAAGCGCGATAAAGCATTTAGCAGAGAAAACATTTATAAACTACAGATCAAACGTAAATGTTACATCGGTGGGGTAAATTCGTTACATAGTCTTTTAGAGACAGGGTATGGGATGATACCTGGTTAGTAAATTTCATACCTGACTCGGCCCCGCCTCGCCAGGTATGAAATTTACTAACCAGGTATCATCCCATACCCTGTCACTAAAAGACTATGTAACTAATAATACCCCCGCTCCAAACTGTTTTACCCTTGTGTGTTTGTCTGTCCGTCTAGCTGTGTATATAGCTGTCTGTTCGTTACAATTATTTCGTAGCAGTTTTCTCGGGAACTATTCATTGCAAATGTTTAGTTTTAGAACAATCTTTGTTAATGCAAGTCATATGGTGAGGCTGATTTTTGTTCAAATCTGGCCAGTGTAACCATCTTGTTTATCCGCGTGTATGTGCGTCCCATACATAACAAATTTTTGTCACAGTTTTCCCTAGAACTACTCATTGCAGACGCATGAAAATTATTTTGTACAAATCCTATGTCAGCTTCCTGTTAATATGTCCCTCCGTACCAAACATAACAAATTTTTGTTAAAGTTTTCTCGGCAACTACTCATCGAAGATGCTTGAAATAATTAAGCGCATTGACTAGGCATGCCATATTGTGGGATTCATTTTTGTACGAATCTTGTGTCGACTTTCTGTTAATGTGCTTGTCTGTCTGTACCTTACATTACAATTTTCGTCTGTGTGTCTGTTTCTACAATTTGTAGTGGATTTTTTGACGGTTTTCCCAGCAACTACTCAAGTTTGAAATGTAAGAAGTGGAAAGACACAGCAATCAAAGGAATCTGTCGTAGCGTAGTACGCGCTTGCTAATATAACCTCCTATTTCCTGTCACATGACTCGAATTATCCAATGAAAATATGCCGTACGAAATATTAACCAATCAACAGCTTGTACGGGAAGCTGAGTCCCCACACAAGTTCCCACACAGAACTATTTTTGCTACACAAGATACCGCACAACATCGTAACAAGTAAAACTCTGTAAAACAAACAAGTGGAAATATAACACATAAAATAAGCTTAACTAGACGAATTAATAAATTCCTTCAATGTTATTAAAACATCCCTAGATTGTACAGTATATGCTAAACAATTTAGCGTATGACTATCGTAACTACCGACACTAGCGTAAACAAATGTAGTCCCGATAAAGCTGACTGATCATAAAGTTAATGCTCAAAATAAATAACAACTTGTAGCTTCAAATTACAAAACAACTCAAATCAAAATGTAGAATACGTTCCCATATTCATAACTTCAATAGAACAATACATTACTAGTAAATACATATAGGTCAACAAACCGGAAATGACGATCCGAGTAAAGTATGATGGCTTCCAAAACATGAAATGTAAAATCCACCCTCTATTCCCCTATATTATGACTCCTACGATATTACATGAAGCGACAACTGGTAAAATATGATGATAATAGCTATTACTAAAATCGTATCTATATAAGCTGACATATTATTTTCAATAAAATCATAAACGAACAACTTTTCTGGCAGGCACATGTTGAACATAGATTTAACAAGAACTGGACGACCGCATAATATTACGTTTAAAAATCAAGTGATATAACAATACATTTTATTATCTTCATTTCAGAATATTGCAACCTAACATTCCTTAGAGCTGTGACTTCAGAGAAACCAGACGAGATTATTGGTAATCCATACATACGGAAATGGAGAATACATCTAACAGCAGAGGGACGATTTGAAGAGTTGTTCGAAGATATATTTACACGAGATATTTTTCATAAATGGAAAACAAAATATGAAAGGGATTATATTTCTTTGCTTAGTCTATTTGAGGATCGAAAAAATAAAATGCGCGAGAACATGGACGAAAATGAAAAATATGAATTTCCTTTGTCCTCAACGTTATTCGAGCTATTTCAAGAACGTAGATCAGGTACGACTGATCTTGAGGACCGTGTGGCAAAACAAAAAGGAGAGGTTAAAGTGGAAAATAGTGGACGAACCATTATTTTTAAATGGTCTTTATTGAAAACATTTTTTACTCATGTCAAAGACAGTACCAAGGAAATCATAAGAGAACACAAAGAACAATTTGAGGAGCAAAACGTGCGTTGTGTGATAATGACTGGTAGTTATTCTCAAATGAAACTGTTCATGCATGAGGCTGAGAATGAGTGGTTTAATGAATTTAGTTCACCAGTAACAGTTGTCATTCCAGTGCATATTGGTTCAACATATGCTATGGGCGCTGCATATTTTTTCAAGAAATATCCGACATGGATATTTCATGACCTTATAAATTTAAAGTGATTCTTAAGTGCTCTTAAATTTGCGAAATTTATCAAGACAATGCAAATGAACTTGAGTCTTATGTTTTGTGCAATTTAGGCCTTGTTGACATCTTTATATTTACATTTATACTGAAAGGAAAAAAAACGCATGATAACATAATGTGCGAAATATTTTGGACTGTTTTCCCAAAAATAATGAAAATTTGCCACTGATGTTTATTGGTTATTGTGCACTTAAATCGTCTTTCAGAATTACTCCAACATGAAATGCTGCATATTTGTAGTCAGGATGAATTTCTTGCAATCTTGGTACAGCTAACTGAAATATCACTGGGTCTAGTAGTTGAATTGCCTAAGAGAAGAAAAATGCAACAACATTTTGAAATTGTTATATGTTTCTCAAGTTTTCCATCAGGGAACATTTTTGTCAGTTGTCAGAAAGTAGCTTGATTGGTTTCCAACCAACCGTGACGGTGGCTTTGGCGCGTAACAAAGTCACCTCATGATAGGGTTTTTAGCTCACCTGAGCCGAACGCTCAAGTGAGCTTTTCTAATCAAAATTTGTCCGTTGTCTGTCGTCGTTGTCGTCGTAAACTTTTCACATTTTCATCTTCTTCTCAAGAACCACTGGGCCAATTTCAACCAAACTTGGTACAAAGTATCCTTGGGTAAAGGGGATTCAAGTTTGTTCAAATGAAGAGCCAGGCCCTTTTCCAAGGGTAGATAATTATGAAATAGAGAAAAATTAATGGCATTTTTAAAAAATCTTCTTCTCAAAAACCACTGGGCCAGGAAAGATGAAACTCATGTGGAATCATCTTCAGGTAGTGTAGATTCAAATGATGGGGCAGGGTGGGGCCAAAATGGCCGATCAAAGTTTTACTTAGGAATATATAGAAAAAATCTTTAAAAATCTTCTTCTCAAGAACCACTGGGCCAGGAAAGATGAAACTCATGTGGGATCATCCTCGGGTAGTGTAGATTCAAGTTTGTTCAAATCATGACCCCCGGGGGTAGGGTGGGGCCAAAATGGCCGATCAAAGTTTTACATAGGAATATATAGAAAAATCTTTAAAAATCTTCTTCTCAAGAACCACTGGGCCAGGAAAGATGAAACTCATTTGGGATTATCCTCAGGTAGTGTAGATTTAAGTTTGTTCAAATCATGACCCCCGGGGGTAGGGTGGGGCCAAAATGGCCGATCAAAGTTTTACATAGGAATATATAGGAAAAATCTTTAAAAATCTTCATCTCAAGAACCACTTGGCCAGGAAATATGAAACTCATTTGGGATTATCCTCAGGTAGTGTAGATTCAAGTTTGTTTAAATCATGACCCCCGGGGGTAGGGCGGGGTCACAAAGGGGAATCCAAGTTTTACATAGAAATATATAGGAAAAATCTTTAAAAATCTTCTTCTCAATAACCACTGGGCCAGGAAAGATGAAACTCATTTGGGATCATCCTCAGGTAGTGTAGATTTAAGTTTGTTCAAATCATGACCCCCGGGGGTAGGGTGGGGCCAAAATGGCGGATCAAAGTTTTACATAGGAACAAATAGGGAGACCTTTTAAAATCTTCTTTTCAAGTACCTCAAAGCCAGGCTTCTTTATATTTATAGGGAATCATCCTCAGGTAATGTAGATTCAAGTTTGTTCAAATCATGACCCCCCTGGGGGTTTAAAATTCAAGCGCCCCCCCCCCCCCTCCAGTTTACTTTCAGTTCTGATCTGATCTGTGTTTTTTACTAGCCAATTGCTCAGGTGAGCGATGTGGCCCCTGGGCCTCTTGTTTATTCTTCTACCCCTGAAATTGTTATTGAAACCAAAATTAATACAGTAGGCAAGCATAATCGTTAAATCATCATAAAAATGAAAGAAACTTCCTTCTTGTATTTTGCCTCTAGAGCTCGTCAACTTTACGTCGGCATACATTTTTCAGCATTTTCTCCCCGCCAAAGTGCAGTCTGAGTTCGTCAATATCTTTTTAAAATCATTTATGTTCATCACACCATTGAACTGGTTTCCATAAAAATATTTTTTCCAATCGAAAATCTGTGGAACTCACTGGACAGTAGGATTAGAAGGCTATGGAATGTTCTAGTTACTCAAGACTAGCTGAGGGTTGCTCTGTCGGAGGGGCTGAATAATATCCCTTTGAGAAAGATCATTGTACTGATGATCTACATGCATAGATAAACAAGGCTGAGATAGATGGGCAAGGGAGATAATGATTTTTTAGTTTTACTTTTGGGGGGTATCGTCATATGAATTTCAATAACTCTTGAATAATGGGTCAAAATAAAAAAAAATTGTAATTTTTTTTAAAAGATGAGTTTTAAATTTCGGTAAGAATATTGGAAAATGCCTTCAAATTAGTAGCTTTAAATCACTTCGAAATTCAGAATGCGTTTTTTCCTTATAGTAGTACAGTATTATAGTATATTGTTATCATGTATTACATTTATCAATATTCACATTTGCTGTGCTTTTCTACTAAGCCATTTATTGAATTGCAAGTCATTTTTGGATACGAGGAAACTCGTTCTTAATTGACATGACACTGAGGTTACAGAAAAGTTAATGAAATTAATTGTTACGATATAAGGCAGCAAGAAACTTTATTGAAATTTTGAGTATATTGTTCTATTAAACTTGTAAAAATCTAAATATAAGGAGTGTTTTAAGTACAGTGACTGTGAATTTTTGTTGTATAAATCATACAGACTTGACATAGAGTATATTGTATTTCAGTGTGTTTTATACTTCAAATCAATATATATACTTAAAAACATTCCTTATATAACGTCAGTTCATCATCATTAAATACAAATGTTTCTTCTTTTATATTTGAAATACATTGGTTAATCGCTTTATACTATTTTGTGTATTAAACGTATTAAATAAAAATCTCTGACATTGTGTACAATCGTCTCTCCGTGCTTTTCAAGACAATATCAAATACAATGCATAGATGTGTGGTATCTTAATGCTATATTAACATCCAGAGAACAACTAATTTCTTACTTTTATAATGATCAGTCGACTGGGGATGTTTATATACTTCCCCATTTCACCTGATCCCACCTCTGATGTTTTAAAGGTTTGTTTTTGCATTGCTCAAAAGCATTGTTTCAATTAATGGACTTTTGAGATTGATTTCATTGAATTTATAATCTTGCAGCACACTTGCCCGACATCAACGTGTTTGTTATGTCCATTCAACCATGTCAGGGAAACAACTATACTAGTACATAAATTGTGTTGATGTTAAAATAATAATAATAATGATGTTATAATAATGTGAGAAAAACGATTAAAAGAATTAAAACAATAGCTTAAACACAATGTCAAGTTGAAAGTCTAGATTTTCCTTCCTCATGCAATTCTAATCAATCTAATTTAGTGTCTCCCGCCCTTTCCGCTTTATCTTGATCAGTTAGGAAATAAGGCATAAATTTTAGAATTTTTTTTTTTACTTATATGGGTAGTGTACATGTACATTTTACTCTGAAATCTATCAAGCCTATCAAGTTTTAAACAAGACGTTAACTACAAGTCAATATTTAAAGTCACTAATGATAGATTGTTTACGAAACAATTAAGTTCATTGTAATCACCTTATGATTAGTAAAACAATACTTTATAGATGTCGTGAATATTATGGTTCGCAGCTAAGTGTAAAGTTTCAAATTACGTCACGATCTTTTTCGTCAGATGCATTCTGCATAAACAATTCACGTGATTGGTCAACTCAAATTATCAACATTGACACGGAAATATCTGTTGCATGAGCAACCAATCAGGGATAACTAGAAAGTACCAGTCGTAAAGCTTGCGGTTAGGAGGCGTGTACAATTTACCTTGAGCGCAGCTGTCAACTAGACCGTGATGTAACGTTAAACTTTACACTTAGCTGCAAACAATAATAAGAAAAAAAAAATAATGATTAAATTTGTAATCGATCATTTACTTAAACTAATTAATATGAGAAAACTTTTCTGACGTAATATTTTTCACATCATACGCTTTTTTCCTAATAGTTTCTTGATTATTTTTATTATTATCTTTTTTTGTTTATTCATTCGTTTATGTGTAGAAATATAAGACACTCAAAAGAGCCATGGCGCATTTGATTGTCACTTTCGTACGGCGCCGCTGGAGGGCCAGGTAAAAAAATATTTTTATTTGTTCGGACAAATTGGAAATTCGTTCGGACGAATTAGTTATTTGTTTGGACGAATTGGAAATTCGTTCGGACGAATTAGTTATTTGTTCGGACAAATTAGATATTCGTTCGGACGAATTAGAAATTTGTTCGGACAAATAAGTTATTTGTTCGGACAAATTAGATATTTGTTCGGACAAATTAGAAATTCGTTCGGACGAATTAGTTATTTGTTCGGACGAATTAGTTTTTTGTTCGGACAAATTAGATATTCGTTCGGACGAATTAGAAATTTGTTCGGACAAATAAGTTATTTGTTCGGACAAATTAGATATTCGTTCGGACAAATTAGAAATTCGTTCGGACAAATAAGTTATTTGTTCGGACAAATTAGATATTCGTTCGGACAAATTAGAAATTCGTTCGGACGAATTAGTTATTTGTTCGGACGAATTAGATATTCGTTCGGACGAATTAGATATTCGTTCGGGCAAATTAGTTATTTGTTCGGACGGATTAGATATTTGTTCGGACAAATTAGATGTTTGCACATATTATCTTGTAAAGAGAGATATACAATTTGTCTATTCAGGAGGATTCATCCCTTTTTAATACATAAATAGCTCTTTGGACCATGACATACACACGTAGCAACTAGACATGTGCTATTAAAGTCGGGTATGTTGATTGTAAATATTTGGAAATAATGGTTCTATACTGGTATATATTATAGGCCTAAAGTCTGCCATTCTGAAAGTATACTTATATCTGAGAGCCCACTATTAAATTCAGAGGGTCAGTTACTTCTTATCAAACATCTTTTCACTCCAATCCCTGACATAAACTCATAAGATTTGTCATAAATAAACATCATCTGGTTCTACCAGACCAACTTTTGCTGGTGGTGTTAAATTGGTAACACTGGGGTGCCAGTGGTCAGTTACCGCTTCTTTGAAAAGATGAGATCCACTCCTTAAGGTTTTTATTCCTACTGCAGGCAATTGGTACGGGAAAAAAATGGCATTGGAAAGGTAAGCCCCCCCCCACGAAA